TTGCTTGCAGCTCGTTCGAGTCACGTGAGTCAAGTGGGGGTCAGTGCCCCCGAGCCTTGGTGATGAGAAATGGAAATCAAGCGAATGGCAGGTGTGTTTCGACCAGTGCCGTCTGCATGTTATTGCGCATGGGGGCAGGTCCCCATGCGCTGTGTCGTGTTTTGTCAACCCCCATCAGCACTCAACGCTGTCGCCTTTTACCCCAGTGTAACCCTTCACTCCACGCTGCCCCTGTGTGGACTGGGCTGGCTCCTGGGCGCCCGAACTGTGTTGATGAATGTCACCGAAGAGGCGCCCTTCTTTCACAATCACGTCTCACTTCATTGCGTTCGTTTGTGTGCCACCCCCTGGGCGGCAAGTGGTGGCTCTGGTCACCTGGAACCTGTTGCCTTACTCCTTGCTTGAGAGCCAGTGACAGAGATACCGCACATAAGCGCTCTTGCAGCCCTAATTTTAGAGGCGCAGTTGAGCCCTCCTGTCTAAAATAGGAGTGAACTTCCTTGACCAATTCATTTGAAAGACCTCGAAACTCCCCGCACACTGAAATGGTGATCTCTTTCATTATCAGATTTACTCCTAACTCCTAACCTGGGGATCGAAGCTTTCCAGGGGCAAGAATATTTCTAGCTCACCGTCTTTTCGATATCCTCCTTGCCGCCAGCGATCCGATGGTTTCTTACCCCGTGCATTGTCACTCGCCCTCATCGTGTGTCGTGGTTGGTTGGAGCTTCGACAAGGAAACAGTCAACTCCGTGTGGCCATCACCACCAGGCGTCCAACATGGGGGTCAGAAGCGAAATCTTCTCCGATGAGTCCTTTTTGCACTTTCGCCTCACCTTCCAAACCGAGTGCCCTGGGACCCTCAAATTTTATTGCCAATCTGGGTGAAGTGTTGCGATGCGTTGCCCCCACCCCCAATCTACAGGGCTCGACGAGCTGCTGCGGCGAACCTCGATCGGCCTCTGTTGGCTAGCTCATGATCTATGATGGCGTTCCCCCACTTTACACCGTTGTTTTCGCCTCGAGAGTTATTTTGGCGTTTCCGCGTCTTTCGCGCTATTCTTTCGGGGCTTTCCGAAGAACTGGTTCAGCTGTGAGACCCACTAGCAACTAGCAGAGGGAGAGGCGAGAGAGGACTGGCGGTGAACAGGGTGGAGCCACTGGTCATCGTTTAATCGTATATGGAATATCATCGTTCGCTCTGGGGGACGTCAGCGGCGCTCTCCTGCGAGATGCAGAAGGGGCGGTTTGTTTGATTACTCTGGTTACTATACGAAGGTGCTGCAGGGCGCGGATCCTAGACCCTTGCGAGTGATAGGGGATTCTGATCGACTGTGATAGTGTCACAGCTCATTTTATCCCTTGTGAGTATATTGGCAAACAACAAGTTTGTCGGGGTGAACCTCCCCCGTCGCTGAAGAGGAAGACAGATGATGCTCGATGGTGCATCGAACATTCACTTCTGTGCCTCATAACACAGGGTTAATAACGGTCTGCTCTATTGACAATTGGCGCCCGACAAAGACAACAAGCTACCGCTCTTACCGAAACCCCGCCTCGTTTAAGTTTTCGTCCTTCTCATTTCTTTCCTCGTCTTTTACTTTGCCGTTTCCTAAACCACAAAGTAGGGCTTTGTGTATCCCTCACAGCCCGCCCTCCCCGCATGCTTTGGATCCTTCTCGCCGTACCCGTTCGGCTATGAATGCCATGTTCGTCCAATGTGTGCCATCCAGACTGGATCCAAGCAACATAGTGGAAAAAGAGAAGAAAAGAAATGCTGGGTGTGTTGGTCATGAGCCGACCGGGAATGACTGCGGCTCACGCCTTCCGATGCGCCACATGTCCAGGGTCCAAATGCCTATCGGTACGGCATGCGTGGACTATCGCAGCTCATTGATTCGTCACTTCGCAAAAGTTTGGTGCAAAGGTGATACTGGACTTGCGGTCTTTTCCAGGTCAGAGTATCTTGGGGCATCCATATTAACCTGTTAGTTACACATCCACCGGTCTGCCCTAGCTCCTCCTTGGGGTCCCACCTCCCCCCAAGACGAGTCCTTCCCCCGCCGCCACACCGGCGACAAGGACCTCGTGACTCTGCGGGTGATCACTTTCGATTCTAGAAGCCGAGCCTTTCCGCTCGCCTCGAGTTCGTGGGCATGAAGGATTGGCGGGGAGGGAGTGGGCCAAGCATATTGGGGCTTGCGGAGGAGGGCCAGCCATTTAGCTGTTGTGGCGGATGAGGTGAGCTGGCAAGGGCATGGCGTGACCGGGGCATCTCGCTAATGTGCCACTTCACGCCCGCTGGGGAAAGGTTTGGTGGATCTGGGGTAAGCTTGGCATCTGGGCTGCCGAACAAAAGCAGCTGGGCGGACGGTTTCTTCAGGATTGAGGGACATGAAGGCTTGAGACCGTTTTGTCCTCCAAGCTCGGCAATGTTTCACGGGTTCATGGTTCTGCGTGTGGAGAAGCATAAAGCAAGTGGTCAGCGATGGGGAGGGAACCGGGTTACACGATATGGGGGAGACGGCTGTGTGCATGATATGAGGAATATGCAAGTGTATTTCCTTATCTGAGGGGGGCCAGCGTTGATGGCGCGCCGACCTAGTCTCTCCAATCTGTGCTGGTTTCCTGTTATCTGCGGAGTATGCTCTTATCTGGATTCTGCGGCGTCGGCGATATAGAAGAGAGTCGTGATGTTTTGTCGGGGCATCTAGACAAATGAAAATAAGAAGATATTCTAATGCGTATATATGGCTTGTCCGGTTTCGGTCCCAATCATTTCAGCCTCTCGAAGCGCGAATGTAAGTGGCCGATATGTGCGCCCGGGGAGATGGTGAAGTAGATCCAGCTCGGCATCGAGGGATAAATTGCGCCATTCCCTTCCCTTGAAAAGAAATCGAAAACCAGGGGGGTTCTCAAATCAAGAGCAAAATGAGCCAAAGAAAAGTGAAAAGAGATGCTCCCGTTGTCATTAAATCAAGCAAACCCATCCCCATCCCCAAAACCTCACGCATTCGTCCTCAAAATCCCCCAAAGATTGGCCGGACCCGGCACAACAACCCCCTTCGCTTTCCCATACGCAATCAACCTCCTCATATTTGTCGTCTCCGTAGCCTCAAAGTACAAGTCCAACACCGCCTGCCACTTGACGTCCTCGGTCTCCAGGTATCTGTGGACGATGGCCTTCCACCAGTCTTCGAGCGTATATTCCCAGCCGAAGGTCAAGCGGGTACACTTTGCTCCGGACTCGGGGTCGTAATGCGTCCAGCGGTGCTCGGTCGTGTTGCGTCCCTGCGTTTCCCGTCGCGGCGAGAAGATTGAGAAGTCTTCCGGGTGGAGGGGGGTTTTCATGTGTCCCTCGCTTTTGACGAGTTGCTGCGGATCGGGGAGCTTAAGGGGCGGGACATCGGCATAGGCGGTTTGGAACTCGGCGCGCGTGAAGAATTCCTCGGGGTCTTTAACCGATTGGGGGACGTCGAGGGTTCCGGAGGGCCAAGGGTTGTTTGTGTCGATAGGGCGTTGGCAGGGATCTTTTGCGTAGGAGGTCTTGACGTCGAAGCCGAGGAGGGCGCGGCGGAGGAATCCGCTTTCGGAGGCGAGGACTTCGATGGCCATGTCTACGGTGCGGATGCTTGAGAGCTCGATGGTAAGTTCGCCGTTGCCGCCCCAGCGGTATTCGATGTTTACGATATCCTTCACGCCCCTCGATCCGTAGAGGTTCATTTCTACGAGGAAGGGCCAGATGGCCCGCGGAGGCAAGTTTTTTACCACGAGCACACGGGATTTTCCTGCTAGCTCTATACCAGCTAGGACGTGCCCCGCGAGCGGGTACGATGGCGTCGTGGGCCGAAAGACGCTCGGTTCGACAACTTCGCCCGTTTTCTCAGATGTTAGGAGGAGTGGTTTCTTCTCAACTAGGGCCTTGAATGCTGTCGCATGTTCGTGGTAGGCGAATTCGATGAGGGCCGTCATACTACCCTGGATAGGGCGCGTGTCGAGGATTTTGGCCGAGACTAGAGGACCGCCTTGGATGTGGGATAGGAGACTCCAGAGGCGGATGTCGACTGGCAGATTTGAGATGACGATGCGGCGGGAGGGGAAGACGAGGGCGGGAGACGGTTGGTAGAGAGGGTTGAGGATGAGAGGCGGAGGGTGGAAGTCTCTTTGGCGACGGGCTCCTGGTCTCCTTGGGTCGCCTCGGCCGAAGCCCCGGTTGTTATACCTGTAGGCCATTGGAGGGGACTTGCTGGAGAGGAGGAGATGGGAGTAAGTTGAGATAATCTAAGACTCTCTGGGCAGGTCTGTTGACGGGGCGGTGGAGATCTCCAAGCTATCCCAGTCAAGTCTTGAGTTATCCTAGTGAAAGAGAGGTCATTCAGATCCGGCTGTGCCGATGAAAGGCAGGCAGCTCTCCTGTTGAAGAAGGTAAAAGAGCTCAAAGCCCTTTTATGCCTGTGAGCCTCATCACAGGTCTCCCCTTTTTAAAATTCCCCTTCCTTCCTTTAGTCTCCACTCTTGAATCACTTCTTGGGAGACGAGGCGAGTGCTATCCAGACTTGAAGAAGAGCTGTGGTGATGGATATCACTATCCGCACTCGCCTAATCAGTCAACCATGTGAAAAGGAGACAGGAGAATTTTCTGAGTTCAAGTTTCCCTAAATAGCCCTCAGTTCTTCCCTTATTAGGGCCTTCCAGAACTAATTGTGAGTTCATGTTGGCTTTGAATGCCAGTCTAGCTTGTCAAAGGGCTGGGCAGCCATGTTCATAAGAAAGGCCTTCTCACAGCTTGTTTTGATCAAGGACCTTAGCAAGCATTGATTTAAGCAGAGTAGAGAGCGTCCAGTTCATAATCCCATCACATCTAACTACCGTACGCCTACCAACCTAACCCAGCCACCTGTAATCCCAAACCCAATGCAGAACCTCTATAGACCAGCATATTACCACACACATTCTCCCAAGTGTCTAAAACCTCGCTCCTACATTATTCTTTCTAATCATCACACAATCAAGAACCCCATATCCCTCGCCCACAACTCCTGCAGCCACCCAGCATCTCCGATACCAATCCCTTCCTCATCCTTCATCCTCCACGTCTTCTTCAACATCTCTATCGCCGCAAACACATACCCCCATGGACAACACTCCCACAGCTTCAGTAACCTCTTAAGCACCCGCTCCCTCGAGGCTCTATCCTCAGTCTCTGCACCTGCAATAACAGTAGGCCAGGATGTGGCCTTGAAATGTTCATCATTTTCGTCGACGAGATCGAGGTGGCCAAAGATGTCCGCCACTAGCTCGTCAACAGTAACGGGTGCGTGGGCTCGGGTGGAGGGGATGGCTCGGAGAATATAGAGGCATACGGCCGAGCGGTGCGCGGAGGCGACGGCTTTGCGACTGTTTAAATCAGGGACTTTTACCTTGTCCTGAATCCCGAGAGCCCAGGCATGGATGTCAAAGGCCATGGCTTGCTTGATGAGCTCGAGGCCCGAGGCCGTGACGGAAGCGGGTATGGCAGGGCACATAGCTTCGCCGGAGAGTTGAGAAGCAGAGAGGATGATGTGAAGAATTTTGGGCGGGCAGCAGAGGTAACTATCGCCTACCACTCGCTCCATGACAGGGAGAAGGTCGAGGGCATGGTGAGCGATGTTGGCGCCAAGACCCGCCGAGGTGAGAGTTGAGCCGAGAATGTGGTATCTGTTGGAGACCAAAGTTTTAATATCTTGGTGTAAAAAATGATGGTCATCATCGCCGTGATGAAGGATCGTACGTATACTCACATCACAAAATCTGAGACGATGCAATCCTGAAGCACTGCGCTTGAGCGAACCTTGGCGAGGTCGCTCTCTGGGGATAGGAGGTTCAGGATCCTGCATGCTCCATGAAGATGCGTCCTCCACCCACTCTTGCCAAGATCGATAAGTTCAAAATTAACAAAAAACAGCACGGCCGCCAGTAAAACTCCTCCATCCGCCGACCCTGGATTCTGCAACACAGCTCTCAAATCGCCAATAGCTTTCTGTTTTGCAACGAGCGAATCCAAAAAGGCGCGGCGCGATACCCCATCCGTCGATCTCAGGTATTGCAAGTACGCTGAAAGATCCAATGGGGATAACGCTGGGGATGGGGTAGAGGCGCGTTCCAGGAGTGCAGAGGCGGTGATTTTAGGGTGGGCGATGTTGGACATGTGCACAGCGGAGGTGGCTGTTATGATGTGCAGCAGGAAGCGGTGTTTGAGTGCAAGAGGTATGAGTTCCCGGAAAGGGTTGCAGCCGGGGCCATCGTGAGCTGCCAGGTCTTTACATACTCGATCAGCGACTTTTTGAGGTGGAAAAGGATTAAGTTGTCTCGTTAGCTAATTTGCGTCTCCTAGATTGTTGCTCGAGAGAGTAAATAATCTATGAAATGTGAATGACGTGCCTCGCAAGACAGGGCGAAACAAAAACAGGCACCTTGCCCAAGGCACAAAAAAGGAGCATGCGCGGATGGAACAATAGGGAGTGGAGAAAGTAGGAAACAGGACTGCCAACAAGAGCAAAGGGGTAAAAAGAAGAGAAGACAAAAGAAAAGGGATGGACCAACAGTGAGCCAGGTAGCGCCTTGACGGTTCATCGAGATCCTTAAAGGACGGATCAGTAAGACTTGTCGGCCTGCATGCAGGAACAGCAACAGCCGCATGTGCAGGAGCAGTATCGGTGCAGTCATCCGCAGTAGAGGAGGGAGTGGCAGTGACCGTAAGAGCAGTACTGGGCTGCTGCGCATCGCCGGACACCGAATCGAGAGAGTCAGACACGCACGCTGGCGTTGAATAGCTAGGGCCGTCGAAGGAAGCGAAAACTGGTACGGGTGCGAAGACTATAGATGGGGAGGAGGCCGTGGTCCGGTGACCTGTGCGCCTTGCTGTCGTTGCTGTCGTCGCCGAGGCCGCCGTGGTGGTGGTGGAGGCGGCGGCTGAACGAACGCCTCCTTGGGCTTGTCCTGGCACCCTAGTACCGGCGCACTGGGTCCAGATGAAGAGCTTGTCGTAGCCAAGACACTCGCGTCCCGAGGAGGAGCATTTGTTGCAGATGGGACGGGACCGATCACAACGGAGACGGCGGCGGCGGCAGTTGTGACAGGGATTATTGAGGTAATTGGCGAGGCTCGACTTTGGCTTATTTGCAGAAGGTGCCATAGGTTTGTCTCTCTTGTCCTTCGTCTTTGGAGTTCGTTTAACCTTTTGTGCCTGGTCTTTGCCGGATACAGCAGACTGCGTATCTCCTTGCAGATTCTGAAGGCAAGAACTGACTCGAGGGGTTCCTCGGGGATGTGGGGATAGAGCTGAAGGGGTGGGTGAAAGAGACTGAATGGGCTGTATGGATGGGGAAGGGCGTGGGGTATGAAGGGGTCCAGGCCCAGCTCCAAGGTCCAGGGGAAGGGAACAGGAAATGAAAGGTGAAGCCAAGGAAGCAGGAAGCAGGAAGCAGGAACAGGATCGGAACCCGGGCGGGGACGGGGACGGCAGCGGCGGGAATGGAGAATTAGGAATGGAGGATGGGGAAACAGGGAGATGGACGTGGCCTATGGTGATGTTGCTTGTTGCTGAGCGAGAGACTTTGAGATGGTCTGATAATGCCGAAAAAGGACTCGATTCGGCAAATGGAAGCTTGAAGCGGGATACAGCAAGAAGCGGACAAAACAGGACGTGTATTAATTTTTTTACTCCAAGCCAGAATAACAAGCCTCGACAAGATAAGAAAAAAAATATTAAAATTGGAATCGAAAGAAAAGAATGCAAAGGACAGCCGGTGATGATAGCCTCGCCTTGAGACTTCCCATAGAGCCTCAGATCCTCGTTCGTTCTTTTTTTCGCTCTGTCTTTCTTTCTTGTTTGTGTTCTTCTGTTTTGACACTGTTATTGATCCCCATCGGAAGCAGGAAACGACTGAAAGTCTAGGAGTGTAAAGAGGGCCGGCCTGAGATCGTTGCCCACTTGGAGGAGAGAGGGAATGGAAGGGGAAGCGATGCGGAGGCACGTTAGCTACATATGTAGATATAGTTACGAAGGGGCGAAAAGGCCGTTGCTCATAGGACCACGGTCGCAGGTAATCGTCCACTAGCTATCAAGATGGCAATGCGAAGACACGTCCTGCGTCCGACGTAGGCACGGGAGATGCAAGTCGCATTGGCCAGGGCGGGGCAGGCGGGAAGCGGGAAGCGGAGTCTGCGTGGTGCGTGGACAGGGTCCCGAGAAGCCAGAGGAAGAAGAGAAAAAAAAAACAATAATAAGAAAAATAGAGTGAAAAATGACTGGGCGGGACGAGGGTGGAAAGATGCCGGGGTGGCCGGATGTCAACAGCGAAGTCCGGCACGGATTCGATCCAAGTGGAGCGGGAGGAGATGCGTGGACAGACCACAGACCAGGCAGCGTAGGGCGGGGCGGAGCGGGGCGAGATGTCAAAACGCTTGGGCTCGGGTAGGCGAGCCAGGGTGGGCTAGGAGCGAGGAGCCAGAGGTGAGCCACAGGAATATGATATGTGAGGAAGAAGAGGGGTTGATGAGATTAAAGGAGCTGGAATTGGGGGTTGACGATGAGGATGGAAGATGAAAACGAGGACGAAGTTGAAGGTGGAGATGGAGACAGTTTGAGAGGGAAGGAAGACAGGGCTGGAAGGAGGGGAAGAACACCGAGGTACCGAGTTCAGGGCGGGAAGGAACAGCCTAGGCAGAACAGCAAGACGACAAGACAACAAGACAACGCAGACGAGACATGGCAGGACATGGCAGGACAGACCAGGACAGACCTTCCTTAGCAATTTGAACCTTCCCAACCATCTCAAGCCTTCCTTCCTGTAATTATTGCAATAGATGCTACAATCAATACTTGTCTACTTCGTACTTACTGGTACTTCATCTTGTACTCGCCTGGTGGAGGACTTAAACCTCTCATCGCACCTTCCCGGCTCATGTTGACACTTCACATCTTCGCATTGCATCAACTCGGCTTCTTATGAGGTTAGCTCAGGAGGAGTCGAGCACACCGTCTCTCGTTCCCATTCTCACGATCCGGCTCACGATCCGACCGGTGTGGTGGTGTTGTGGAACTAAACTACGTTGCAGTGGGAACAACACTGCGACCAGCGACCAGCGTCGCAAATCCGTCAACCTCCTTCTGTTCGTCTTCTTTGGTCCGTTTGGTCAGGCCATGGCCGATATCCCGCCGATTCTGCAGCACCTGGATCTGGCATCACAGTCCCATACAGTCTCGCAAGCAGGGGATGACATGACGGGTGCTCCCCCGTGTCCAATCCAATGGCTTGCCGATGCCGAAACGGAGATAAGAGGAAAATCCCAAGTGGACGCGTGACTGATGTACGGAAGTAGGTCGCAGCACCTGCGCTTTCTATTTGCTCGATTTCGCCTATGTTTGTGGCATCGTCAGGCTTCAATTCAACCCGAAGCTTGAAATTACGTGACTCGGAAGGAATATTTGATATTTGAATGTTGGGCGTCAAAAATGTCAAAAAAGTGATATGGTCCGCCGGGTCTAACGCAGGGGTTCGATGAAATTTAGCTTGGCCACCAGCCCAAAGTTCCTTCACCGATTCTTCTCGAATTCAACCATTTTTGGTGAAAATGAGAAAGTTAAAGGTTTATTGCTTTATCGTCTTTTCTTGTTCAAGTTCAAGCTCCCCTTTCGCCGTCTCAGTCCATGTCACATCATCGAGAAGGTGTCTGATGCCAAAAAGATATTTATACTAATGCTCGATGCTAGATTTAGTATTAGGGCAAGACGGTGACAGCCACGAGGTAAAAGTAGAATCAAACCACGAGGGCAACACTATGTTGAAGGATTGTCTCAGTCCTCAGTCTCAGTCTCAGAGACACAAGACGCCGACACCGCCCGGACCCTTTTGCCCTTGGCCCGACCTTAACCTCTCTTGACCGAACCAGGTCTGAGGTCTGACCGATCATGGATGCTCTCCCCTCCTCCTCCTTCTCCCCCCAGCCATCGTGCCATCGTGCCATCGTGAATCGTGAGCACCAGCAGCAGTGACATTGGGAACGATGGCAAAGTGAGAACAGCGGTTCCAGCACTGGATACAAGAACCATGAACGTTCCAGAGTCCAGACGCAGTCCCAGCCATTTTCATTTCCACTTCCACTTCCACCCGGCTCCCCTCCCATCCTTTCTCTCTACACTAAGTCCATCAATTCCGGCAGTCCTTAGGAGTTGAACCCACAACCCGGACGTCCTCTTCCCCTCTTCTCCACTTCCTTTAAATAGTTCCCACCATCGTGACTTATGACTTATATTTCCGAGTCCAAGATGGACCGCTGCGACCTCCAACTCCCAAAGTATCGTCTCACCGATCCCCCCGTCGCGCGGCCATTGCTAGCTTTTGTACCAAACAGGAAGTGGAGTGGCAGACACTGCGTCTCAATAGCTCTCCCTTTTTATATGCTAGACCCTCTTTCTCTATCTCTTTTTAAAAATTTTCCCTCCTCCCCCCCTCTTCTCGTGAACTGTTTTTGCTATGACTGATGGGACGGCTGATCAATCTACCAAGTACTCCGGGGATGAACACCGAGATGCGCCATGGCCCATGGAATGTTCGTGTTAGGTATGGTGGATGGAGATGCACACCGCTGGGTGGATGATGGACAAAAAAAACGTGCTCGATTCGCGATGGGGCTCTTGCTATCGCGCCCGTTTGAATGGTTCCTTTCGATTCCTGGGTCCGGGTCCCTATCGTAGTTCCCATCTGTCGCATCGATCCTCCCATCATGCCCCACGAGGTCCCGTCTTGTCCGATCATGACTTAAAGAGAGGGAGGTTCCCGAGTATAAAGAGGGATGGAGATGCCCGTAGTTTTCGAGTTCGACGGAAGAGAGGAGGCTCAGCTGTCAATAGAATCAGCCTTTCGTGTGATTTTTGGAGTATTTCTCTCTGTGTGCGTTGGAAAGTCCCCTTACAAGTGAATTCCTAAGATGCCTTTCACACTCTTTTCAAAGACAAAAACCCCTGCGAGTTGTGAAAATCACCAGCAGAATCAGAATGGACCCGAAACCTCGGAGTCAGAGCAGACTCTCACCCCCTTGGACGGCGATGCGCCGTCTGACCCCGATGGCTTCGACATCGATGTCGAGAAGCTCGGACGACAGCGTCCTGATATCCTCCCGTCCGCCATCGCAGAGTTCGCCTTTTGCTTCTCTATCCTCTGGTCTATGATCATGGCTGTATGTATCTCCCAATATTCCCTATTCCTACTCTATCATGGTCGCAATACTCACATTGCCTCTCGCTCACCAGGAATACTTCATCAGCGGATCGCACATCATCCTCCCCACCCTCGCCACAGATCTAAACATCCCCGCAACCTCCCACACATGGATATCTAGCGTCCTGACCCTCGCAGCCGGCGCCTCTCTCTTCCCACTAGGCCGCGCCGCCGACATGTACGGCGGCTACATCGTCCTCAACGCCGGCATGTTCTGGTTCTCCGCCTGGTCCCTCGCCGCCGGCTTCGCCCCAAACTACATTTCCTTCATCATCTTTCGCGCCATGCAAGGGCTCGGTGCCTCTGCCTTCCTGCCTACGGGAATCATGCTTCTGGGGAAAGTCTACCGACCGGGGCCGAGGAAGAATTTCGTGTTTAGCATGTATGGCGCCATTGCGCCCTTGGGCTTCTTCTTCGGCTTGCTCGTCGGTGGCGTTACGGGCGAGAAGATTAATTGGCGGTGGTTCTTCTACTTGGGATCTGCTATGGGATTCCTCGCTAGTTTTGTGTCGCTGTTTGCTATTCCGAGGGATTGGAAAGCCGCGAGGGAGATGGGCATTCGCATGGATTGGTGGGGGACCGCGACTATCTGTCCCGGTCTTATCCTCGTCGTCTTTGCTATTACGCAGAGCTCTGGTGCGCCGAACGGCTGGGCCACGCCATATATCTATACAACCACGATATTGGGAGTTCTCTTCCTCGCTGCCGGCGTATACGTTGAGCGGAATGTGTCCGAGGATCCCTTCCTCCCCGCCGAGATCTTTAAGCCGAAGTATATGAAGGCCATGCTCTTCTGCCTATTCCTCGCTTACGGTGTCTTTGGAATTTACCTCTTTTACACGAACTTCTAGTGAGTATTGATCCCCAGTTCACTAGGTTGGCGCCAGCTCTTCCTTCAAACAAACAGCCTACTAATGTCCCCGTCTTCTTCACCAGCATCGAACTCGTCCTAGAAGTGTCCCCCTTCATGACCGCAGTCTGGTACACCCCCTGGGCCGTCAGCGGCATGCTCTTCGCCGCCACTTCCGGCCTCCTCCTGCACCTAATCCCCAACCGCATCCTCCTCATCATCTCCTCCCTCTGCAGCATCGCCGCCTGCCTCTTCTTCGCCCTCATGCCCCCCCGCGACTCCCCCTCCTTCTCCTACTGGGCCTACGTCTTCCCCGCCATGGTCGCCGAAACCGCCTTCATCGACATCCTCTACACCCTCTCCAACGTCTTCATCACCACGCGCTTGCCGCGCCGACACCTCGGGCTCGCCGGCGCATTGATCAACTGCACACTGTACATCGGCATGTGCTTCTTCTTGGGCGTCGCTGAGGTGGCGGTTGCTGCTACGGCTGATAGGGGACTGAGGGGGAGTTATCAGGTGGCGTTTTGGATTGCGGTTGGGTTTGGGTGTGTTACGGTTTTGGTGTTTGCGTTTATGGATATTGGGGAGGCGAAGAGTGATCTTACGGAGGACGAGAAGAGGGCGAGGAGGGAGGCGGAGGCTGGGTCGGAGAGTAATGAAGGGGGGAGTAATGAGGGAGAGAGGAAGGCTGAATCTTAAGGATATGAATCATCGGGATACAGTGACACGGTCTTTTGCGAACCTGGTTTTGGTGGGATTTGGTGGGATTCGGTGGTGGCACTCGATTACATGGTTACTGACGGCGGGATCGGATTTTGGTATTGGCTTTGGAAACGATGGCATTCTAGAACAGAAGAAAAGGTAGAGTTGATTTGATTTGATTGATTTACAGCTTCGAGAGGAGAGGCTGTTAATTCTAACGAGGTAATGAGAGAGAGAGAGTTAATAATATACAGCATTGCTTCATCATCATCTCCAGTCGACACCATAGATGGAGAAACCAGCAACACCCACGCCATGCTAAACAGTCGTACTGAATATTGTTGAAAAAGAAAAACGAACTAACTCATCGATGCGCTTTAAAATACCCCATGCCTCCTGTTAAAGATATCAGAAGTGATAGCCGCCAGAGGAGGAGATTCCCGACTCGTCGTTCCTCTCTCCGTAACCTGGAAAGTCTCTTCCACCATCTCATCATCCTCATCCTCATCATCCTCCTCGCTCGAGTCCACCTCACCATTTTCTTGCCCCGTATTCTCAAGCACAGGATCCTCAAAAACTTCAGTAACGCTAGAATATCGCCTCTCAGGCCAAGGATCATCCATCTGGCCATCCAACCCCATCATCCCGTTCTTGCGCAAAAACTTCCGGACGAGATTAGAGGGGACGTTTTCCTCGGGTTCCCATGTAGGGTTCTGATCGGGCGGCCAGTCTCCTTCCCATCGCACCAGGTAATGTCGTACCGGCTTACCCTTGATGATGAACTCTCTTGTGCCCTCGAGCCTTTTCACCGCGAACTGCGCGTCGTCGCCCAATTTCTTAGCTTGCGCTTGTTTGGCCGCGCCGTTCTTGGCTTTCGAGGTAGGCGGAGTCTTGCGCTCGTCTGCGGTTCGTTTGCGCACCGTCGATGAGAGTATACCTGCGCTAGCTGCGTGACTTTCGGACGAGGTGGCGACGATGGAATCCTGCCTTACGGGTGTAAACGAGGTTATGGCGGGTGGTTGTTGGGTCAATAGCCCGGATAGCTTTGCCTTGGGGGTTGGCGTTCCCAGCCTAGAGCTCTTGAATGGTGAAGAGCTTCTCATGCGCTTTCTCGGCGGCTCATAATCCGATACTAAGAGCTCCTCATTCTCGGAGACCATAGGTAGGGACGCTTCCGACGTCGTCTCCCCATACAACTGCTGATAAATGGCAGCTTCTTCGCCTTCATCGCCCGTATTCGCCAGGCCAATCGTCCTTGGTTTCTTAGGAGTAGAAAGCGAAGGCTGATGCTCCTTCGGCTGATCCTTAGACCTTCTCTTTATCTCCTCCTCGATAACCGCATCATCGACCGGTATGGCGGGGGCCTTCCTAGGTCGGCCGGGTCTCTTCTTCGGCGGCCGGCCGATCTTCCTCTCGGTCTCAGTATCAGGTTTAAGCGCTCCCTTGGGAGTCTTCTTCTTTTTCTCGGCCGCCTCCTCTGTTAATCTCTTCTCTTCCCGCCGTTGCTTCCACCGCGCATATTCCCACTCCTCTAGAGCATAGGGGGACACATATTCAAGCACCTTATCAGCCCCGACTGATATGCTCGCGCCGGGGAGATCTCTCCAGCCGATCCAGTATCCGCGTTTGGCAGGGTAGGGCTTACCATCTGCGGCGACACCCGGGCGGGTCTGGAACGACTCGTCTATTATGTAGGCTGTCGAGTCGTTGGGCAGCGTTATCGTAAGAGGTTGGAGGGGTGGTATGTCTGCGGGGCGGTATGCGGGCACGACGACTTCTATGTCACCGCGTATGGAGGGTCGAGAAGAAGAGGAGGATTTTGCGGCCAAGGTCGAGGTCGAGGGCGGGGAGTGTTGGGTAGGTTCGTGGTTAGGGTTAGGAGGTAGACGGGGCACTTTAATGACCCATTTGTCCATATTGCCAGATTATCTAGGATAGGAAAAAACTCTCGTTAAGTCTCGATTCATCTTTAAAGTCGGACAACGGTCGTTTAGCTCGCTCGAGGTCGTAGAAGTGGTGGAGCGCCTCCTCGCCCCCGGCCTTCGCTATCCAGCCTTCCTCTGGACAGAGCGAGGGGCGCGTCGTCGCGCACGATCTAGGTTGGGGGATCTGGAAAATAAAAATTTCTAGAGACATGTTAAATATAGACCTAGATGAGGCGAGAAAGGCGCGCCCATTATAACGAATTGGACTTACCTAGGGCGTGTACGATCGCTTGCTCTTTGAGAAGAGGCTATTGCTTCAAGTGGTAATCTAGCTCAGGATCTAGCTCAGGATTTAGATTAAATCTAGCTTACTTTTAAAATAATAAGCTATAAACACGACCTGCTTATCTAATTTAGCAAGTTAATTTAAATAAAAAATTTTAATAATATTTTAAATTATATAAATATTTAAAACAATAAAAAATTTAAAATTTAATTTATTTTAAAATATAATTAAATTTATTATAATATTAAATTTTAATAAACTTTTATAATATTTTATAATATTAATATTTTTATAAAAAATTATTTTATTAATTTATATATTATTTATTAAAGTTTATTAATTAATTACTTAATAATAAATTATTATAATATTAAAAATTAAATTATATTTTTATTTAATAAATTTATTTTTTTTATTAATTATCTTAATCTTATATCTTCTACCTCTAGTAAATATTCTAAGTTCGTAGAGCTCTAAGAAGAAGTTAGAAGTCCCCGAAACCGGGTGATTCGCTTGTACTCACCAACCCTACTCCACAGAGGGGCATCACGGGGATGCACAGCGCCCAACGCTCTCCCTTGTATAGCCTGGTACTTATAAACACGCTGGGATGCCCGCTGAAAATTCAGCAACCCCCAGCGTCGTAGCACCATTCGCGGATTCTATGAAGCTATTGCTATTACTATTATAGGGCGGATGCCCAAATTTGATTCTCACCAGAGCTCAATCTCAACAGCCCGACTAAACTGCCTAGTCGCTGTCACCTTCACGCCATTTCAAGCTACACGCTCCAGATCGGGTCATGTACCCGCTACGACTGTGGTCAAGTGAGCTTAGCGCCATTTCGCAGACCCAGATGAAGCATATTCCCTGCTTGGAGGCTCAAGATGGGTCCCTGGATTGATGCAGATTGATAAGATTACGAGGCATAAAAACCCTGGCCCCATCACCCACGTCGCCCACGCAGCCCACGTAGCCCCCTGCTGGCGGTCCCGGAGCTAAAGCAGAATCCACCGGACCCAGCAAGGAAGAGTATATAATGCTAGGCTGGTGCGAGGGTGTGGTGCGGGCAATTCACCTGGCTTCATCGCATCTCCCATTACTCTCAGCTAGATCTCCTCTCTGACCCTTTCAGTCACTTCACTTCTACATCTATGCCTTCATCAGACAGCGAGATACAGCCTTACAACCTCTTAACTCTGCAAGCGTATAATACCGACTTGGAACTGCTATGGCTACTCGTCGCAAACCGGACCCCTCGGAGGAGGAACTCGTAGTTCCACACCAGCCCTACCCCAAGGAAACCGATCCCATCCCGACCTACCGCATCGACCTAGCCGTCCCTCCACGCGAGCGCTACGCTGAGGTCGCGCGAGACCTGTCTCCCCAGCTCCGGCATACCACACCGGTCTTCCTCGAGCTCATCCAGTGGTTCGTCCCCAACCGGTTTATCCGCGCTGGTATTATAGGCCTCATGAAGCTGCTGCTGCGCCGCGTGTACGACGACGAGGAGACGCAGGAGATCAAGGGTATCGCGGCCGTGTCGGGTATTGACTTGTACCTTCTCGTGGCGTTAAACGTGCTTCTGGATGTGTTGTTAGGTTGCACGTCGGGTGCGGCTAGGGTGAAGACCGACGCTGGCGAGGAGAACTCGAGACTGCTCCATTTCAGGACGTTGGACTGGTCGATGGATAGGTTGAGGGAATTGCTCGTGATTCTCGAGTTTGTCGATTCGTCCTCCGAAGAGCCACGGAAAGTGATCGCGAGGACAGTTACATATGCCGGATTCGTGGGCGTATTAACCGGAGTGAGGTACGGGAAAAGCCACACTGTCCCTCAAGACGTGCTCAACTAACACCTCCCACAGACAATCGCTCTCTATCTCCTTAAACTTCCGCCCTTCGCACAACAGCCGCTCCTTCAGCCTCCGCTGGCACCAACTCATGGTCGTCCTAGGCCTCCGCCCCTCCATCAGCAGCGTCCTCCGCGACCTCATCTTCCGCCCCCTCCCCGCGCACCAATCCGCCTCAGCCGTAGCTACCGAGCTCGCCTCCACGCGGACGAGCCCGGCATATCTCTGCCTCTGCGACGGTGACGAAGCCAGCATGATCGAAAAGGACCTCCTCACGGGCGCCGTCCACACGGAATCCGATTTTGTCGTGCAGACGAACCACGACGTATCGCGCCATGAATCCGCGCTGCCCAAGCCGCTCGGCACGTCGGCGACGGCTGAGGCGCTTTCTGCTATGACGAAGAAGGAGACGGCAAATGATGAATCTTGGATCGAGGAGTCGGCGGAGAGGATGCAGTGCATGATTGACTTTTGGCGCGAGCGGACGGAGGCGGCAGTTGGACGCAGTAGCGGGAAGGGGGCTTACCTCCTACAGGCGGAGTTGGAAGGCAAGGTGAGGGGGAGGCCGATTTCGAGGGAGTGGACGCACTTTCGGTGTGTGATGGATCCGAAGAACTGCGCGTTTACGTTGGTGGAGAGGGGGCCGCCGCCCGCTCCGGTTGCTCAGCAGAATGGAGCGTCAACATGACAGAACAGAGTCTTGTCGTGTCGCGGGCAAAGTGTCTTCGACGACAGTTGGAGCTTTTCTACAGGCATGTTTATAGATAGAGACGTATATAAGAACTAGATAGAGCATATTATAGAGAACATCTCAAAAGCGCTCTCCTCTTGTGATCCACAGCTAGGCTACACATGCTCCAGGGTAACGTCTTAGGATGGACAAGTCGCACCCGCCAATACTAGATTGAGATTTGGTACAATATGTAAACGGGCGTAAGGGGGTACTGTAACGAAAACAGACCAGTGCTATTATAAGTTGCAGGCGAAATGCCGATATCCGAATGACACCGCACACCCAGCCTGAAACGGCAATTTAGGGCTGAAAGCCATCTATTCACCCATTCTCTTTTTCGGTCTTGGGTAGATTTCAAATGCAAAGCAAGACAGAGGGCAATATTTGTCGTGTTGGATCTATGGTCTCTACAATGTAGTGTGAGGAAGGGCGGTGGGGTTGCCGGAGGAGGCATTGTCCTGGCGTCCCTCTCCGACCACGCCGGCCATGACAATGAGGATGACAGCGAGGGCCAACTTCAGAACTTCGAGGCTCCATCAAGCGCTAAAATAGTATGACGGACGAGGAGAAGCGCGGTTGTGGCGCATGCAGAGGTGGCCTCCCTTGGCATGAGCATGATACAGTGCTTCATGGTGACAATTGTGAATGGCGATGCATGGTGATGCATCCCCAGGCCTCCAGTCACTGAGATGAAACGACACCACCACACCGTTCTCCTTGCAGAGTGTGTGATACCCGCGATACTTCGTCCACTATGAAAAGCGTGCATTTTTTGTTGTATTGGTACGTTCATGCCGGGCAACAGCGGCTCCTCCGACCGAGGCAAGAGTAGCGGGTTGCCTAACCATTAACGATGACCTTCACCTTTGCGAGTGTGCTCAGCCTCAAGACAGAGACAGAATCCGGCGGAGCATTTACGCGCATGCACTGCATCGGGTTAGACCGCCAACCAGAGAGCGGCTTGCTGAGGAGTGCTGAGGATTGAGAGACAATCGCTTGCGTGTAATAAGAACAATCCGAAACCCCAGGGTGACCGCACTCGTGGCCAGCCCGGTCTGGTGATCCGGATAAGAGAGCCCGTCTTCAATCGTCTTTGCCATCAAAGTTGCGTCGCCGGCTTTAGCTTTTGACCGTCTTTCAAGTTTCGCTGATAATCTCGCCCACTGCATGTCCTACCCTCCTTCGCCCCTCGGTGGCGTTGATTCCATCCAACCTTGACCGCAGGGCGAGATCGTCCAAAAAATCTTCATTTGAGCTCGAGCTATTCTGACGCTACTTCCTTACTTCGTACTTCCCATGCCGTTTAGGCTGCGACTGCCCCACGGAGTTCGACCAAGTGACGTGATACATTGACTTTGGAAAGAAGCAAGGGGACCAAATCCCATAAAGAATCAAGCAGGCACGACCCAGACCAGGTCACACTCGGATTGTCTCGACACCAGACCGAATCTCAGAGGGCGCCTCATTTGGTGGTCGACATTGAACTCTCTGCTCTAACTGCTGCCCCACCATTCGCCCCATCCATCTTCGGTCTTTCGGTTGTTTGGACCCATTCAAACTCTGTCCAGTTTGCTTTGTGCTTTCATTCTTGTCCACTACAATCAACCTCACGCAGTACCCCAGGTCCCATTTTCCCCTTCTCTCGTTCCACGTTGCATGTTGCGCCAACACTGCACTCCTCGACGTCGTACCTGACAACGCTGGAACTCTAATCCACTCTTCCCTGCAATTTCCTTGTCGACCGACCGACCGAGCACGCCCAGACCAGACCCAGACCCGAATCGCGTCGCATCGCACCCACCCGCATCTAGCCAAGAGAACTTCATTGATCCTTTTCCAACCCTCAACTCAATCCCATCCGCCGTGTCCTTCTGCTCTAACCCTCTCCCGCATACCTTCCCGATCATGACTCTTCGCTCCAAAATAACTCGCCGTTTAGGCGACCCTGTAAGTTCAATTCTCCTCTCCCGAGCCGATAGGGCAGGCAAAAAAAAATATTTGATCGATAGCAATTATCCGTGTATCGATAAACATGTGGATACCAGTCGTCGCATTGGCCATTGCAGAGCAGCACTAATATTATATTCCCGCCTGGAACAGAAATCCCCCTCCGAACCATTCCTTTCCTGTGAGTAGATCGTCCTGAATCTCTGTTTCGCTGCTTCCGATCTCTGCCTGTCAAATTCGAAGCTAACCTCGTCAGATCACGATATTCTCTGTAGGGCGACCCCACTACAACCGAGCTGAAACCTCTCAGCCCGGCCCGTCCCAAGCGAACCGACCAGGCTGACAGTAGCTCTGCAGTAACATACGAAGATATACGCGCTCTCAGGAATGACTGGCTCACCGATAATGTACATCTCCAAATCCCCTTGCCAAATCCCGAACCATGGGAGCTTCGCATCGGCTCTGCCCATTCGCAAGGACCGTGTGTGCATACAAGAGCCTCGAAACTGACATTGAGAACTCTTCACTCTAGAACATCGCATTTTGGGAAGAGTTAGTATACCCTTGCCCCAAGCCGTCACCCAAGATGAACCGCCCGCAAATGAACACGTTTCGCGACCCACAAACCTTGCTCATAGCTCCCTGCGTGAGACCGAAGCTAATCGCGTGACTTCCGGCTGTCTAGATGGCTCGAACGAGAGATCCTCCCTCGATACCCCCAAGCCCACATCGTCTTACTCAGGCCGAGTATGACATTCCTCCTTATGAAGGAGCCCGACGTGAACTGCATCCGTAGCGCCCTCCCCGACTTCTCTCGCTGCACCCACATCTTCCTCCCCATCAACGATAATCGCTACGTCAACCAAGCCGAAGGAGGTTCGCATTGGTCTCTGCTCCTCGTCAGCAAGATTGACCGTGTCGCCTTCCACTACGACTCTCTCGGCGCGTCAAACCGCGAAGAGGCCAAGGCCGCCACGCGGGCCCTTGAGAGGGTGCTCCGTGTCAGCCTACGCTTCCACCACCTCGAGGATACCCCACAGCAGGAGAATGGCAGCGATTGCGGCGTCTTTGTGTGCATCATCATGAGGCACCTGCTTATTAAGCGGCTGCTGAGTGCCAACGCGCGAGAGAAGGTGTCGATGAGCATGGCGAACAAAATGGTGGACTCCAACGGTGGCCGTAAAGAGATGCTCAAGATAATAGAGAGCTTCCGGAAAGAGGGTGTACGGAGACGATCGTAGGTTTTTGGTTCCTATTCCGCCTCGGGTGTCCCAACTTGGCAATACCTTGACCTTTCTGTGGACTAACAACACAAATAGACGAAGTTCGTCGCCGTATACCTCGAAATCTAAAACGCCTCCGAGAATTGCGTAAGACGTCACGCGAAACTAGAACTTGGATCGGATAGCGACAGCATACCATGCATGCGGCATAATGAGCGGGCGACGGCACCATGATAGACCAAATCATGATTGCATTTCTTTGTTTCCCCTATTACATTCTGTACTTTCAAGTTTACGACAGTTATGATGAACAGGCGCGAGCCGAGGCTTTGTGTGACAGACGAAACATTTCCGCCTCTGGAATGGTCCTCCTCGGGTGCTGTCGAGGTCAAGCGATGTCCCCAACTGGCTACGCATGTTCGTATCTGGACGAGCGCTGGTGTGCCAAGAGAAAGCACCGTTCTTGAAATTCTGTCATGCCTAACGCTGTGGCATGAACTTGGACTCGCAGCGGAAAATGGTGGCTGACCTGGGTATCAACAAGCGTGTCTCATGGTTGATTTTGTTTACTAGTAAGAAATTGGGCACTAGGATAGCGAACGGTTGGTTAGGAGTTTGGTTCATTTATTTGACGGTGGCATCAGAAAATAGACGCCCGCCAACTAGCGGTCTCTTTTTCCTCACTGCTGAGTGAATTCAAACTGGAATCCCTCTTGTAGTCATGTAGAGAGTGAGACAAGATTCGCTGCAGGTCCAGCAGCCTTCTAACCTAACCCCTGGGAAAGAGCCCAATGACGTCTCGTATCATCCCTCGCAATACGCCGGGAATCATCATGCTAACCATGGCATGGTACCAACTTCGAAGTATGCTCCAACGACTTTGCGTTGTGTCAGCTTCCGGGACCCTCGCTTGGTTTCTTCATATCCCGTTATACCCTTGGTAGAAATAAAAACCTGTTTGCGGTCCCCAATCCCTGGCCAATCCCTCACTTTACTCCTTCCCCTTCGCCGCAAAGGCCGGGTTTTGTTCCATAGTCGCCGAGATATACCCCTTCAAAGCCGCCCACCTATTCCCCGTCGGATTCGCTGCCTTCTTCTCCCCCTCCCCTCCACCCAAACCCCCCGTCGCACCTCCACCAGCGACCAACCTCGCCATACTCTCCCCAAACCTCTCCATCTCCCCCCTCACAATCTTCTCCTTCCTCTTTAACGCCCCCGGCCGACTCTTCAAACTCTTATGCCTCACCTTGCCCACGGCCTCGGCACTTAGCTCCTCCACCTCGGGCAACGCATCGACGAGGTCCTCTAACGTAGCGACAAGCTTCTTGCTAGGTCTTCTCCTCTTGGCGGAGGTGGCAGCGCGGGGCGCCGACTTTTGGATCTTGTGGATGAAGGAGGAGTGGCGGATCGTGCGGCGGTCGCGCTTGGATTGGATGAAGGCGTCGGTTGTGGCGGCGCCTTCGCGGTAGGTTTTGCGGGGGGCTGTGGAGGGGATTTCGCCGCGGATGCGGGCAAGGCGTTTTTCTGTTGCGGATTGGGGGGCGGTTTTGGCCTGGGAGCAATGGGTTTGGTTAGCCTCCAGTTTTTTATTCTCTTCTTTTTTCTCGATTTGTTGATGTCTGCGGGTAGGGGGAGAGGGGCTGTACCATTGTGTCTTTGGAGTGTGTGGGTGGTGAGGAAGAGATTGAATTTGGTCGTGGATGTGACCTTTGGCGGTCGATGTCGAAGTTTCGGTGGGTTGAAATTTTTGGCAGGTGCACATGTGCCCCGCCTTCACCGAGACTCACCGGGCTGATATTTCTAAGCTCGTGGAATTGCCCCGCCACCATCGAGACGAGGTTCTCAACTCTGACTCGGAGCGAACCAGACGAAAAATTAATAGACTCACTGGTACTTTATCATTATACCGGAGAAGGCGGATTTTTGAATATTTTATTTTAAAAGCTTCGCGCAGCTCTGCGGTCCGAGGCGTTCTAAACCGTCATGGACACTATCACCAGACTGCGGAATGAAATTGAAGTAACGGAGAAGGAACTCGAGCGCTTAAAAGCCGAGCTCAAGAGGGCTGAAGCTCAAGCCGCAAAAGAGACCTCCTGTGTTCAGAATGGCCACCCCGAAGACGACGTACCTTGGAAATGGCCATTGACAGCAGGAGAATACGAGCGCTATTCGCGCCAGCTCATCATACCCCAAGTCGGAGTCCCAGGTATACGCTTCCGTGTAACTACACTTCAAGAGAGATTTCGATTCTAACACTATCCGTGACAGGTCAACTCCGTCTGAAGAACGCTTCGGTCCTCGTCGTCGGCGCCGGTGGTCTCGGATGCCCCGCGGCAACCTACCTAGCCGGTGCGGGTGTAGGTACTATTGGCCTTGCTGATGGGGATGTTGTCGAGGTATCGAATCTCCACCGCCAGATTGCCCACTCGACGGAGAGAGTAGGCATGTTAAAGGTAGACAGCGCAATATGCCATCTCAAAAGGTAAGACTAAACCACTTTGTCACTCCTATTTGCGAGCAACTCTCGCTCATATACTCACGCCCGCGATCCCAGCTTAAATCCAACCCTCACCTACCGTCCCCACCGCGAACACCTAACCCCCCAAACAGCAGGCTCCATCATCTCCCAATATGACCTCGTTCTCGACTGCACCGACCACCCCACCTCCCGCTATCTCATCTCCGACGCCTGCGTCCTCCACGGCAAACCCCTCGTCTTCGCCTCCGCGCTCCAGACGAACGGCCAATTAATGGTCATGAACTGTCCCCCGCGGCCCCAGGGAGATCGAGAAGGCGGGCCGTGCTACAGGTGTGTTTTCCCGAGGCCGTCGCCTCCGGAGGCCGTGATTAGTTGTGGGGAGGGAGGAATTCTGGGTCCGGTTGTGGGTGTGATGGGGATTTTGCAGGCTCTTGAAGCTATCAAGATCATAGCTAGTGGAAAGCACGAATCTGCAGCAAGTATAGACGGTGCGGAAGTGAATGGGAAGCAGCCTGCGCAGCATCACATGCTCCTCTTCTCGGGCCACGTTGCGACGCCTTTCCGCTCCGTGCGGATGGCGGGGAGGAGAAAGACATGTTTCGCCTGCGGTGCCGACTCTCCCCTCACGCCAGAGTCTCTACGGGAGGGGAGCGTGGATTACATGCACTTTTGTGGCATCCGGCCGGCAGTGGACCACCTACGGCCCGAGGAGCGCGTTTCCCCGAAGGAGTACCTCGAGCGGATCAGAGACCTCGGGGACGGCACCCCCGGCGGCCACTTCCTTTTGGACGTGAGAGAGTCGGAGCATTTCCAAGTTGCAAGCCTAGAAGGCGCCGTCAACGTACCCTACAGGAAGTTCGGCGGCAAGCTCGATGCCGATGCACGACCGGAGTGGTTGCCAGCGGAGCTGCCTCCCTCGGCTCCCATTTTTGTGGTGTGCAGGCAGGGTGAGGACTCGCAGATCGTGACGCGGAAGCTGAAGGAAATGGGACTCGATCGCGCGGGGGAGAGATTCATTGGAGATATCAAGGGGGGCATGAGAGCGTGGAAGGCAGATATTGACCCGACGATGCCATTTACGTAAAAGCGAGAACAAGAATAAGGAAACTTTTGGAGTTTTTTCTAACTAAAAGGGGGGAAGTTTTGCGGCAATTGTACATAATCTGCTTTCCTCCTCCCTGTGGGATATGAGATATACCATCATTGTAGTCTTACACAAAGTGAGCCAGCTGGTTTAAGCAAAGGCGTTTCCGTGTCCACCAATAACACAAAATAAATTAGAGATGCGTAGAGCAGCTCTCTCCATCTTCCTTATCTTCTCTTCCATTTGTGGTGCTTTTCTGTTCTGAGGCTTATACGAATCGGGTTCGCTTCCTGTTGTACGCCCTCTGGTCCTTGAGCCACTGTCGGTATCCGGAGACGCTTGAAATCTTTTCACCGTAGAAGTCGGGCACTAACAAAAAACATGTCAGAATCTGTCCGCCCACGTCCTCTTGGGGTCGACAAATCGTTTAACATACCTGGGTTTCCAACCGAAGAAGTCGAGGGGTCGACTCGGTGCTTCTTGATTCGCGCAAAAAACTCCTTCTCCTTCTATATCCAGAAACACGTGTTAGAGCAACAACATAGCAGCTTTGAAATACCTCTCCCCGGACATGAGAGAATCATAGAACGTACCGAGGCCATCTGAGGCTTAATCCTCCTATGCCACAAATTAAACACCCCCGATCCCAAACTCGGCCCCAAAAGCCAACCCAGCGTCGCCGACGAAAAAGCCATCAACCCCATCGTAATGAATGGATCCAGCGGAATCAAGCCCAACAAAGGCTCAGCGAGGCCCGCAGCAAGCACCCACGACCCAGCCGTACCGCACGTCGCGGCCCCGGCAATGCTGAACAGCACCTGAATTCGACGGCGCGTCTTGCGCAGCTGGAAAAAGGTGTTCCAGTCGAGCTGTTGGGTCGGCACCTGCGACGCGGCGGCCGTGGAGGCGAGGCGGGTCTGTTGAAGGAGGAGGGCAGGGGAGGAGCATTTGACGGCAGCGAGGGCGGGCTTGGAGGGGACGGCGGCGACGAAGGGGCGGAAGGTGCTGATGGGTGAGGATTGGCAGAGCGGGAGGTTGCGGCTTAGGGTCTGGCGGATCACCGCGGGCCGGGCGGTGATGCGGAAGACGGCCGAGGCGGTCGTCGGGTTGAGGAGGCTCATGGTCTTTTTTTTCTTCGTGAGTTTGTTCAATTGGTGGGTGTGGTTTCGGATTGGTTTTGGTGGGTGGTGGCTCGTCTCTTTTTCGGAGCTTAGAAAGTTGTGATGTCAGGAATTGCGAGGTCAGGCTGAAAATGTCGAACTCGTGAGCTATGCTGCGCTAACGTATTATATTGCTTAGATGCATACTGGTCTCAGCTCCACCCAAATCCGATGCTCGAGACCGAGGAGACACACACTTCACCAGGTTGGTATTACTGGGCTCAACACAAATTCTGATGATTCAATTGGTTTAATATATCAAGAGAAGCCGACTATATTACACGTAGATTTCCGTCCAGCAAAGATGAAAAATGTCTGTACAACTTGTGACTCTCTCCTCATGCGCCCCGTCTTCCTTCCTCCTTGGATTCGAGAGGCGTCCTGTAGAGAGTAGTTGTACCTTCCTCACCTACCAAGAGACGTTCCTTCCTTGACTGCTCGACAGTACGTCTTTCTATTTCTCGGTGTAGATCTACGTTATGAGTGAGAACAGACAGCATCATCCATCATCGCCCTCTTGCTCCCCGCTTGATTCTGGTTCTATCAACCATCACCCCTGTCTCGAGTAGGTTCTGTGCTTTACGTCCTGCTCTCCAGGAGGAGCGGGCGGGATTGTACAATTTCTGTTAAAAGCTGCCAAAGTGGCCTCATCCGTCTCCAAAGATGCCAAGCAAGAAGCGTCCTTCGTCGGGAACGTCGAAGGATGTTACAGCGCGGAGCAGTAACAAATTGGCCCCCGTGAATGCCGGCGACTCCGCCAACCCGACTTCGAATGTAAGTCGAAGAGATTGAAGACGCTTTGGCTTCCCTTAGTTGGTGATGAGTGTTTCTCCTAACTTCATTCTCCCTGGGGTTAGAAGGACGCTGGTTCGACAGCCGAAGCCACTGATCCCTTCAGCGACATGATGGATCTAGACTTCGATGCTTTCATTGACGGATATGACGGCGCGGCGGCGTCCATGGCTTCGCTCTCATCTCCAAGTACAGGGCTGCATAGTAAAACGCCTTTCAAGACTCCAGGCCCCAGCCGAATGGGCACCGTCCCAACCGAATCCCCATCGACACAGCAAAACGGTGCCAGCCAGGACGACAGTGCCTCCAGTCACTTTGTCAGCATGCTCAATTCGATCAATGAAGCATTCAAAGCGGAAGATAGTCAACTGGAACGAGTCACCCAGGTCATCTCCAACACGGAAAAGCCTAGACTTGAGGGGGGTGACAGTACACCTGCGGATCCACCGGTGGCAGCTCAATCGCCAGAAAAACATGCAGAGCCTATGAAATCTGACCACGTTCAAGATTCTCCTCCGCCAGCCAAGCCGTCTCCCACAAACCAGACGGGAAGCATCACGGCTACGAAGACACCCACTAATTCGGTTGAGCAAGGAGAGCCGGAGATAAATACCTCTCGGAAACGGACAGCGACTCGTAAACCTACGCCAGTGCCGGGAAAAGCCGCCAGACACGCCCCAAAGGCTCCGGATGGAAAGCCCACGGTAAGACGGGACTTGTTGTCGAGAATGTTATCCGGCCTCAGCGACGCGAGCGGCCTCGATTGGGCGGATCCCTTGATTGGCGGCAAGTCAAGTCGTGACGCCCCAAAGAATGCCTCTCCATCGTCGATAGACTCACCAACTTCGATTGAGAGCAGCGCATCTGAAGCAAAGGGTGAGTCGACTGCCGAAACAACGACATCCCCCCCGGAAGTCGTTCAAGCCCCACCGCCCGTCACAGTCGTTGGTGCCGTTTCCAAGGGTGAACCAACCGCCACTGGACCCACAGGTGAGAAGAGCACATCGTCGAAAAAGGCCCCAAAGAAAGTCTCACCCATCATTCGATTTGGGCCAAACGGTCCTATTCAACCTTCGTCTTCATCGTCGCGGACGAAGGTGCAGGATTCCAAAACGCAAGTGTCTAAGTCACGGCCTTCGACGAACAAGCGCCTGCGCAACGTAAGCGAGGGAATGAAGCGATCATCGAAGCGACCTGCTGCGGCTAAGGACAATCGAGTTTCGAAGCGGGCGAATGCGGCCAACATCAAGCGCATTTCTGTTCCGGATATCGAAGATGAGTTGACATCGCAACTTCATGAGACTCGTTGCGAATTGGCATTGATCACAAAGGAAACACGACAGGCGGGGGGTCGGACTCGGGTCAGTGAGACTAGAAGTCCATTACTTATTGACCTCACGAGAGAAGACACCCCCAAAAAGACGATAGAAGCTAACAAATTGTCCGATGGGGTTGGCGTGGTAGACATTCCAGACAATTCCGAGCCGTCGCCTCCATACGAATCGACAGTTGCCCAGCCGCCAGTAAACCTGAAGCCTGTCTTCGAGGCCCAGCGCAGGGATGCCACGGTTAAGGTGGACACAATGAAGAAGAAGGAAAGTGACAGATCACGAAAAGAGGATGCCATCTCATCGCAATGGAGCCGAAGCGAAATCCTCTCCAGACTTGATCGTCAAAAGATCAGAGTGAACGAACCCATCCGGACAGGTGCATGTAGCAAGTCGCAAGATGCCTTTGTCCTTCACACCCAGCGGCAACATGAACCTACTCCGGCTCCCAAGGCAGAGGTAATGTTGCGTCAACACATCCTTACCAAGGTACCAAAGCCAAAAGCCGACAAACAGCAGAGCAACGCTGACGAATCGAGCGAGACTGGTGGATCTCGTGCATCGGAGATGGAGGATGGCCAGCTCCCACAGCAAACCGACAATATAAGACATAACCTTGATGGCATTCTTCACACCATTACCCAGGTATGCTGGTGCTACCCTTTAGACCACGTTGTGAGACGCCGTTGGAAGTTGGATGGGGGGCTAACGTGCAGATCTAGCGAACACTTGAATTTATCAAGGTCAAGGAAGATGCCTTGAGCGACCTGGTTAAAGAGTATCAGTCTAACGCGGAGGGTTTCATTGATAAAGTTTCAGTCCTCCACAAGAAGGAGATGCTGGAACGAGCCAGGATGGTGGGCGACAGACGCCAGGCCTTCGTCAAGGCGTACTCGGAGGCATCGGACTACTGCGATCGATTCAGAGACAAATTTGAAGCACACCTTATCCCCGACGTCGGTGATAGGGCCGCGAAACTTGCCAAGACGCTTGAATTTGGCAAGGCGGTACACACTGAGCTGCAGAATAAACTTAGGGACCTAGAGGGGAACAAGGATATGGGCATGGCAGATTGACGACAGAGTGGAACGGAAACACGGATATGCAGGCAGTCAGGCTGTTGACGCGGTGTCTCTGGGGTATTATTGTTTGATTTATAATCATTTGGGCGGAATTCCATCCTCGAGTGGACATGGAAAAGGCCTGAAGAGAAATGGAACTTGTGGGAGCAGAGAATATCATAAAAGTCCGAGCTAAACGAAGTGTGGTCCCAGGTTGCGTGTCCCCTGAACCCCTGCAAGGGTAGCCTAAAACTATATTTATAGACCAGGGACGGAACCTTATGCACCTATTTTCTAATCAATCAAACTATTATTTGTATTACTGAACATTTTCAAGATCGCATCGAGATCGCATCGAGATCTTCGTCGGCTTCATCGCCTCCACCGCCCAAGTACTTGAAAGATGGCCGTTAAAGACAAAGCCGAGGCGGAGGCCGTCTCTCTGGCAAATTCTAGTATTTCCGAAACACCCTCGCCTTCAAAGATTCCCCGCACGACGCTCTCGCGACTCGAACAAAGTCCAGCCGATGGTTCGGCGACACCCGAACTAGATACAGTACTCTACCTCGCGTTCGGCTCCAACCTCTGCGCCGAGACGTTCCTCGGCAAGAGGAAAATCCAACCTCTGAGCTCAATCAACGTCACAGCGCCATCGCTTCGACTGACATTCAGCATCCCCGGACTACCATACCTCGAGCCATGCTTCGCGAACACAGCGCCGCGCAAGATCCCCAAGGAACCGCTCCTCCCCGACCCGCGAAACCCAGCGCCTGTGGTGCCGCCTCCTATCGCGGATCCCGACGGACCGCCTACATGGGATAAAGGGCTTGTCGGTGTAGTTTACGAAGTTACGAAGGAGGACTACGCTAGGATCCTGGCGACGGAAGGCGGAGGGTCAAGTTACCGTGAGATCGTGGTGCCGTGCCTCGCCATCCCGCCAAGGATGCAGGTTCCCGAGAATCCTGGCGGGGTGATACCCAAGCCGTTCCTTGCGCGCACGTTGTGCATGCCCATCTTGACTGAATTTCCTACGAAGCCCGAGGAGAGTAAGATGCTGTCGGATGGAGAAGACTCTGGCGACGACGACGACGACAAAAATAAGAAGAGGAAGGGCTGGTGGTGGTGGTTAACGAGGAATCGACAACGACCCGACCCCGAATACGCCGAGCCGAGCCTCCGCTACCTCAACCTCATCCGCACAGGAGCAGCCGAACACGAACTGCCCGACGAGTACCAGGCCTACCTCGCGGCGCTGCACTCATACACGGTCACCCGGACGAGTCAGAAGATGGCGAGGCTCGCGATGGCGATCATGTGGGGACCCGCCATCATCGTCATATTCAGCCTCGGCTCGATGTTGGCCGATAAGGAGAGCGGAAGGGTTCCGACGTGGTATGCGGGGTTGATGACGGGGATGTTTAATTGCGTGTGGTGGAGCTATGATGTGGTGTTTAAGCGGGTGTTTGGGGATGGGGAGAGGACGATGGAGAGGGATGAGGAGGAGAGGGCTTGGTGGGTGTTTGGGAGGAAGGAGGGGAGGATTCGGTTGTGTGCTGGGGATGAGGGACAGAGCTGAGGGGTGGTTTTTGGAAGGTTGCTTGGGTTTTGTGCGAAGCGAGATGATGATTTGGGATTCGGAATTGTTAGCTGGATGAGTTTTGTTTTTGATCCTTGATAGCAAGTAGCAAGCCGAGCCACTGTTCCAATTTGTTTGGAGACGGAAGCAATAATTACTCCGCTCAACTGCTAGTTTACGAGGGGACATTCCATCTTGACACTGCAATCCTGCAAGATTAGCCAGACAAGGCATCACGAACGTTGATGATCGGCCCATATTATTCACATCAATTTGCATGTGAAAAGCGAACAAGACCTCGCGACCTCGATGGTGGCAAAAGCTTAAAAAATAAAAATTCCCCGGACACGACTTTACCCCAGGCCGCCCGGGGTTACCATCCCAAAATAGCAGCAAAGCCACGGGCGCGCGTTGTGGTTCGGTGCGACGGACGGCCTTGGGTCTTTCAATAGGACTCGAGAGTTGGTGCGCCCGAATAATCCTCGGCGTGGAAGGGGGCTTGCGGGCAAGACCGATTTGGCGGCTTGGCCAGTGTTTGGGCTCCTTTTGGTGGGAGGCAGCCTCGGAGGTCGGCGTGACCGGCCGAGGCGGCGAAGGATGATCGGGTTTGGGAGCAGGCGGGAGGGTAAGAACAGAACCAGTGTGTGGCGTGTCTCGATTGAGCAATTGAGCAATTGATCAATGTGACTTGGAGCGGACTTGGAGCGGACCAGCCAGGGCAAGCTGAAGGAGGGCCGAATTCTGCTGAATTCGACGAGGTAGTTTGCGAAGTAGAGTACTGAATCGACCTTGGACCCCTGCCGAGTGTCACATGAACGGAAACTTTGCGATTGATCAATCGATTGATGTTGGCGTTGAAATCTCCGGAAGGGAACTGCTGAGCGCTCACTGGTCTGGGGAAAGAGCTAGTTTTAGTTTACACTCTGGCAATGTTGAACGCAGTTGACTAGGAACAGTGCAGTGTTCAATTGTTGTTGAGCCCCGCCATCATTCGCCAGCCATTGAGCGTTGTGCGTCATCGCTCCTCAACGCTGGCATGGCGGGGATCTGGCATATCTGGCACAGAGTAGCCTCTAAATACACACCGCTGCTTTTCCTAGCTAGCTTAGATCATCGTCAAGAGTCGAAGGTTCAAGGTTCAATAGAGCGGTCAACCCCAGAGTCCACGTCCGCGCGGAGCTTTTGTTCCTCGGCCGAAGTCAATCATTCAGGGCTCTTCCCTAAAAGCCAGAGTCCGGAATATTCTGTAAGGCCAAATCCGGTCCCTAATCAGTGCCCCGGAGGTTCGGCAAGGGCCTCCCATCACACCAAGTCCACTTTCCCGTCCAACTTCGGGTGGCAGCGGTCGGCGGATTCCATTTCCCGTTTAGGACTAGTCCTAGGTCCGAAGCCAGCCGAGGGTGTTAATGGTCGTAGCTTCTTCTTTCCTTTTTCACCTGTGAGAAAGGGAAAAAAAAAAAAATGCATCCCATGTCATGTCACCACGAGGACTCCAGGTCTGGAACTTTGGGAACTTTCGAAGGGGGAAAGACCAACAAGACAAACCTAATGACACACCGAAGTAACTGTACTAATGTTTATCATTCGCCATTGACCATTGATGCCCATCACACACACAAAACACTAAAACACACACCGCACACCACTTGTGCTAGCAAGTAAATTCTCAAGGACCCGGCCGAATTTAGTATATCTTGGTCTCGTTCCTGCCACTACTTTTCTCCACTGTTCCCCTTGTGCTTCTTTCTTCCTCCTTTTCTTCCTTGTCTCCCATGCTCATCCGCCCTCGTTTCGCCCTTCCCAGAACCCTTCAGTCCTCAGTCTCTTCTTTTCGCTATTTCACCACTAGCAGACCTTTCACAATGGCTGGCAATTCTGACCTTTTGGCGCCTGCCACAGCGACGCAGTATGAGAAGAGGCATAAGGTGACTGTGGTGGGGTCTGGTAACTGGTGAGCTCCTGCTCTTACCCTCCCTTTCGCTTGTCATATCTTGTGTGTCGTGTGACCGTGCCACCATGCCACATCACCATAAGCTGTGCCAGTAACTTGGATGAAGAGATTCACTGGAATTCTAACCACTTTTCGACCATTTCCTAGGGGTTCTACCATTTCCAAGATCGTCGCCGAGAACACAAAGGCGCATCCCCACCTCTTCGAGCTCGAGGTCCAGATGTGGGTACACGAAGAAGAGGTGGTTATCGGCAAGGACTCTCCCCATTACGACCCGGCCATTGGCGACAAGCCCCAGAAGCTCTCCGCCCTCATCAACAAGTACCACGAGAACGTAAAGTACCTCCCCAACATCCGCCTCCCCGACAACCTCGTCGCGAACCCTTCCCTCGCCGACGCCGCCGCCGGATCCAGCATTCTCGTCTTCAACCTTCCCCATCAGTTCATCAGCAATGCCTGCAACACTCTCCGAGGCAAAATCCTACCCTTCGCCCGCGGCATCAGCTGTATCAAGGGTGTGAACGTGTCGGATGATGGCATTGCGCTGTTCTCCGAGTGGATTGGAGAGGGTCTGGGTATCTACTGCGGTGCGCTTAGTGGTGCGAACATTGCCAGCGAGATTGCCGCCGAGAAGTGGTGCGGGACTACCATTGCCTACGATCCCCCTCCCATGGACCAGTCCCGCGCCCCGTCCAAGGCCCCCACCCCGAGATCGGGTTCGCCGGCGTCGAACGGTATCCACGAAAATGGGACTCTCAACGGCGTCGTCTGGGAGCACAGGGACGCCAGAGGTCGCAAGTCCAAGGTGACGCTGACACCTGTGCCTCCCGAGTATCCTCCTCTCGACCACGAGACCTTTAAGCACCTCTTCCACCGGCCCTACTTCCACGTGCGCATGGTATCCGACGTTGCTGGCGTCTCCCTCGGCGGTGCGCTGAAGAACATCGTCGCTCTCGCCGCCGGCTTCGTTGTCGGTCGCGGCTGGGGAGACAACGCCAAGTCCGAGATTATCCGAATTGGTCTTCTCGAGATGATCAAGTTTGGCAAGCAGTTCTTCGGCGCCACTCTTGTCGCGGAGACGTTTACCGAGGAGAGTGCCGGTGTGGCCGATCTTGTTACCAGTTGCAGCAGTGGACGAAACTACCGATGCGCCAAGCTTGCCGTCGAGAGGGGTGTTCCCGTTCAAGAGATTGAGCGGACGGAACTCAACGGTCAGCTTCTTCAGGGAACGAGTACCGCTCATGAGGTGAACAGCTTCCTTAAGGCTAAGGGCCTGGAGAAGGAGTATCCCCTCTTCACGACTGTTAATGGTATGTGCATGTCTATTGATTCACAGAATTGCCTGGTTGCGAAACACTAACTGAAGTTCGCCGAATAGGAATTCTCGAGGGCCGCTTTACGGTGGACGATATCCCCAACCTCGTCTCCCCTTAAGTGACGAGGTATCAACTTCCGTGGATTACGTGGAATTTTACACCTTTTTTTTTTTCTTCTTTATTTTTCATCTGCACATACCAGATCTTGCCGCCAGGCTTTTTCACGCATTATTGTTCACACGACCTAATCCTGAGGAGTAATGTTGGTATGATAAGAGGCTGAGGGAGCCACAGCAGTTATACAAGATGATACCATGGGCTGGAAGAGCGGAGAGTGGACTAGGGTCTCTTGCCAAAGGTACGATACGATTAGAAGGGGTATTACCATAGACATGAGAGGGCTAGGGAACGAGGGAAGGACACCGCGGAACGAACAAACGGGGCCGGTGGGGGGACCAGGTTGCTTTTTGTTTTGTTTGTTTTGGCGAGTTTATTTCGGTTTAGCATTGTTGCATTTGAGGGTACGAGTACGAAGTACGAACTCCATTTGGAATTTACTGATGAAAATGACCTGCGTTTCTCTGAGAAACAACACTCTCATGATCGTGATGATTTCATATACTGCTCTAGGATGAATCGAGATGGGACTTTCACGAATACCCGCAAGTTATAAGACGGGGTTTAGTCTTGGGTACTGTTGGGGCAGGGTATTGTTGGAGATCGAGAGACTCGCTACCCGTGCCCACTTTCTTGGCTATGGATTTACTCCCATGTCGTCGCGCTCCCGAGAGCACTTTTAAGCAGCTAATGGCCTGGGAGTGAATCAAGGGAGAGAGCTGCTGGAGAATTAGGAGAGTGCTTTCTCGATTTGGTGTGCTCCTGTCTCAAATATATTGAGTATACGCCGCATCTTACGAGGGAGGAGGCACGACGTGAGACTCGGAAGAGATTGGCTGGAACCTTGGGTATTGGCGTTGGGTACGAGCTGCTTTGCTACATTTTTTGTGACTCGGATTCCACATATATCAATCACTGGTGAACTTGGCTTGATCTGGACCACGTGGCAGTAAGAAAGGTGTGCGAGCAGGTCATGGAATGCTTTTATTACGTCTCGAGAACGAGACTCGAATCCATGAAATGCCTAATCTACTTTAGTTTGGAGAAATGCTTCCAATGATGTATCAAGCGAGGTTGCTCGTTGACAGAAGGGGTGATGATGCTGTTGCCCAATATTCGCGGCTCGAACAATTCAAATCTCCTATAGGACCATGAGTTGCTCCGACTCTACATCCTCCGATGCGAACGTCCTGGTATGGCGTTTTACATATCGTGAAACCGGTAACTGTACTTCAACGTCAATGGTTACCGAAGCATACCTCGTAGCCCTACCTACCCGTTAATATAAAAGAACTGCAAGCGGCGGTGTTAATACGTCGACCTTTCCAAGCCAAGTCAAGAAGCGGCGGCGTGTGCTGGCAAGACTTACACTCCACAGCGGCACCATGGGCTTTAAGGAGAGAACGAACGAGGTTTTAATATCATCTTCCTGGAAGCAAGCCCAGCTTAACTCGAGAGGCTAGAGGCCAGAGGCATTGGGTTTCTTAACTGCGTTAGAATCTAGGTCGTCTCCGTCATGTTTGAATCGACCAGGTAGGCGTGATTGGTAGTCGGTTCCATAGTGGATGCACCCCATGGAGCTACCTTGCGCTGCTCTCGCCGAGTGTCGTCTCTAAACTTGTCATCCTAAGCAATCTTCCAGCCGGCCTCGATGAGAGCATTATAAACGTCAGTGTAGTAAAGATCGCTCTCTACAAGGCAATCTCACGACCTCGACTTCGGCGGTTGATCCGCAAAGTGCAACATCCCGCTTGATTTCCCACGCCTTGACTTCAACTTGGCACTCTCATCGTTTATCCTCCCCGCAGCGGCGCACTTTCAAGAGGACGGCACTACAGACACTGTCCCGGATTCGTGCCTCCTTGGCCCAGAGTGGAAGGCCCTTGCGTACGCCCCCGATGAGGGGTGGTGTATCCGATCTTTCCCTGTCGGGGTACGCAAGCGTTCTTCGCTCTCCGCTTTTCGCTGGATCTTAACCCTCCTTCCCACCCCAACCAACGACTGCCTTCCGGCCACAGCGCGATTATATAGGCTTCGCCGACGCATCCTTGGCTCCGTCTCCGTCCTCATCGTCGCCCCCCTAGGCGTCATAAGGCTCCTGATAAGTAATGTCGACAGGACCTACCGGCGGGTGACTTACGAAATCGACGTCGGTCCTCCCTCATATACGCGTGTTATATTCGCTGCGGACGACGGTCTTGGGCGAGAAATCCATGTCCATGAATCGGTTCTCGAAGACGACGCCGTCGAGCTGGACGAGACCGCTATCTGATATGTCGCCAAGCTACCCCAGCACAAAACCAACAGTAAAATATTTCCGTGTTTGGAGGGTCTCCTGGTTGAATAACTAGTCGGATTTCTCGTTGCGATCTTCTCAGTTGTGGAATGAGCACACCAGCCGCCGTTCTTCACCTTTCTCGACCAACAGGCGAGTGGTCGCCGACGAGTAAGTTTCGCCCGCATCGATGGAACCCATCATTATTCCAGTATATAGTTTCCCGTAAGTTTGGACGTAGTCGGTATCACCGACCACAGGCATACCTTTTTATATACGCTGAGGTAAGGTTTGACTACCTGGGTTTGTGGTTCCCCTTTTGTTCCTTAGGTCACCGAGGATGCCGTTGGTCCGTCTGCCATCGATCGATCGGAAAACGCTCTAAGGGGTCCCCTCCAGGGTACGTCGGAGGTAGATTTGGGAAAGCATCTCGTGTAGGACCTTTGGCTTAGGCGTAACCAAATGACTACGTCTTTCGCTGTTGGGAGCGGGCCGTTATGGTACGCCAGGGTTTTCGGAACACCCTCAAGGTCACTCGGAAGCGCACTCAGGCGAATTGTAGTTCAATGACGAGGGTGTCCCACACGAGTGGGATGGCTTGGCAATCCAGAAAGATGTCGCCGCCTGAGTAGAGGATCACGTCCTCGGAGGGACCTCGACCGGGTTAATTGCGTCCGCAATTACGGGGTTGATGTTCCTGAGGTGATCGGCACCTCCAGGAAGGCCGAGGAGTGGCCAGAAGTCGTCGACCTCATCTACCGATGGCCAAATCGCGATAGCATCACATATGGTAACGGGCCGTTCAGCCAGGCGCTGGAGTTCGCCGTCGCATCCAAGAACATACGAAGAAAATGCGTACCAAAAGCTCGTGAAGTTGTACTTCTCAGTCAGATATTTTTGTAAAGCGTTGGCGTTTCCCCTAGGCGTGCGGACTGTGAACAAATCACCATCCGGGCCCTAAAACGAGGACTCGTCGAACTCCAGGGCTGGGCCAGGGAGGGTGTATTCGTGAAGACCGCTTTCGGGTAACGCGGGAGTCGCAGAAGGCCTCGACCTCGGTTCCGAAGTCAGAAGACATCTTTGGTGGTTCTTGGGAAAAGCAGAAATAGAAGTTTATATACAGTTCGGCTTCACGCTTGTGGAAAAGTGCGATATTGATGCCGCGCTGGAGGGGAGAGAGATGGATTGGGGAAGAGAAGAAGCCGGTGGCCCTTATATAGATTCCAAGGGGACCCAGATCAGAATCCGATGATTGAATTCTAGTGAATAGGCAATCATTCTCAAGCTATGAATCAGTAATGTCGAGCTGCAAGAAAGAACAACGATGAGTGGAGTTGATTGTGATGATTGTGATGATTGTGATGATTGTGATGATTGAAACGATTGGCAAACTTGAAAGGGCCAACAGCGGCTCTGAATATTGAAGTCGCATGCGTGGCCTTGTCCATCAGGTATTGAGGGTATTGAGCATCGGAACTGATGAATTACTTCGTGGAAGCTTTCAATAATGCGGATGAGGGCAAAGCAGAATTCGCCTTCCCTCCCTATTACAAACCATCTGGCGATTCTAATCTAGAATAATTACTTGTAGGAGCTCCGGCATTGAAGCTGAGGGACCCAGATACGGCAGCATTAAATCGCGTCATTGCCGAGCACAGCTTTATTGAGCAAGACATGCCAAAGATGTGATGTTTGGCGATAGAAGGCACCACCGTGACAGTTTGTTTCATGGTGTTAGCTGAAGTTGCCTAATATTCTTTTGATAAAAGTTGCAGTCCGGAATTGGAAGGAAGCTTGGGGCAACTCTCGTGGCTTCGATGACGTACATGTGCCAACCCTGCACCTCATCTACATGTGATCATGGACGTTTTCTTTCCCATGTGACGCTGCGGGGGAACTTGGCTTGACTTGAAACTCGACGAGGTACCTGGCATGGACAGCGCCTCGTAGAGCAGATAGAGGTAAGATAGAGGTAATCTAGATCTTTAGTATGAAGTAATCTAATTCGAATTCATGCAGGGCATTTATAATATTGGCCTAGTACTTCGCAAAATAATCCCACCGCCACGCAGGAGTAGGCGCAGGCGAAAATCTTGATACTGGCAATTAGGTTCAGGGATTGAGGGAAGCCACGAAGCTACCAGGAGTCGGAGCCAGACCTACGCAATGTAGCAAAGGTACTCACCGGGTTCTCGGAGGGGAAGTCTTGGCCCTGACCCGCCTGGTTCTTGACCGATCATGGGCGCACATCACTCGATTCCTACACCCCCCCTGCAATATTACCTCTCCGTAAATATCCTTTGGCATCTACGGAGTACAATCAATTGTACTCGGTGCCTTCTCTGTTGGTTTGGGATAGTCATGGTACTCGCTCACCTGGCGATGTCCATTTGATGTCATCAATACTCCCGGCATCCCACTCAAGGAAGTGACATTGGAACGGCGGCGGCCGCTTTATTATTCCCGACGCCAGCCTGAAGGACCGCCCGATCAATGTTGTAATCTACTCGCGTACCCCGAATCGCCAGCATACTGATCGATCCACCCGAGAACCTGACGTTGTCGTAGCCAAACGAGTCGCGCCCTACCGCCTGCCCTGCTGCCCTACCACCCTACACTACAGTTCTGCTGCCCTGCAGATTTGCAGATCAATTGATGTTGGATCGCATTTGAGATTGTTCTGTTCATCTCTACCCGGTTTTGGGCTTCATCAGTCACGCTCGACACATTGTGTATACGAAGTATTAGAGGCTCCCTTTGCTGGGACAGATTCGTTTCTTGGTGTCTCCGTTTCTTTTCGTGGCCTTGCTAGTTTTTCTTTTTGTTTTACCTTTTGCTCCTACTAGTCTCAGTGCGCCGCGCTGTGGCCAGTCTTGAGCTGTTCAACGAACTGGAGCTCTCCATCTCTACCCCGCCAACGCCAAATCATCCCGCCATCTCGAAAGCTCTGGGCGCAGACCTCGTAAGTTTCAGACTCGCCCCTCCCCGCGCCCATCGGCTCTCTTCCTCTCTCCCCGTGAGCTTTTCTGCCAAATATTCTAAAGTCCGCCGCCATCCATGGAAGTTCCCGTTAAAGGAAAAATCAATGCCTAACACACCGTCCTAGGCCGATAACGCCATATCTAATCTACACAGACGCCATGACCCCAAGGACGGTGACCTCCAACGAGGTCTACCTCCTGAACTTGAACGACGATGGATCACCCGCCGTTCCTCGGCAATACGTCTACATAGAACCCAAGAAATTAGAGGGTCTCGTTCTCCGCTTCTCCATCGAAGGTACCTCGCCGATTTGTCGCCATGGGAGTTTGTGGATCAACATTCCCGCCAAAGATGAGCCCTTCAGGAGAGAAGAGTATAGGGAGTTCAAGTAAGGCAGCCACTTCCGTTGTTACCGCGCGGTGTTGTTCTGAGAGCGAGAGCGAGAGGGACACTGGAGACTAACAGGATCTTCTTCCCCCCGTTCATAGGTTGGAGCCCGACTTCAGCCGGGCAATCGAGCTGTCTATCCCTATCTATCAGGCTGGCGCCTATGCCTACTACATCACCTATGCCGAACTGCCCTCCATCCACGAATCGGTCGAGTCCAACGAACCTTGTCCCGATGGAGAGATCAGGAAATCCGACCTGTATTACATCGTCATCGCCCCGCAACTGACCTTGGACGGTCAACGAATCCCTCTTGAAGCCCTTTCCGTATTTACCGTACTCAGCAAGTCGATGGGGAAGTATCCCCATGACTGGGAACCCCATATGCGTTCCATTAGCGAACGAGGATACAACATGGTCCATTTTCCACCTCTCCAGACCCGCGGCATGTCTAATTCGCCCTACAGTCTGAAGGACCAGCTAGGATGGGACAAGGGCGCTTTCCCAAACGGCGAGAAGGATGCCGTGGCCATGATTGAGAGCCTAGAGAAGGACTATTCTATGCTCGCCCTCACAGACATTGTATTAAACCACACTTCGCCATGTACAGAGTGGTTACGAGAGCATCCCGAGGCAGGCTACAACCTCAGGACTGCCCCCTGGCTCATCTCTGCCAATGAGGTCGATCTCAAGATCAAGGAGCTGAGCGGCACTCTCAAGGACATTGGCGTGCCGAACGATATCCAAAGCGAGGACGATCTCATGAAGGTCATGGGTGCCATCAAAAACGAAGGCATTGCATCCATCAAGATGTGGGAGTATTACGCCATGGACGTAGACCGAGATGCGACAGCTGCCGTGGAATCCTGGGTAAATGGCGAATATTCCTTCCCTCCGGACGAGGAAATAAAGGGCGATATCGAAAACTTGAAGCACTTTCCCTTAAAAGAGCAAGCAGAGCTACTTTTAAAGTACGGTCTCCGGGGAAGCGAGCATCTTGGCGAGAGATTCCGCCGAAGCATAGACCCAAAATACGGTGCCGGCCTCCTCGCAGCCATCTTCGGCAAACACAACGAGGGACATGGACCGGAGCGCATAGTGGCTAGAGACAGGCTCTTACCTGTCCTGGACGAGGCGAATATGAAGTTTTACCGGGAGTACGACCAGGACGTGAGTGATATGCTGCACCACCTTTATAACCGCATCAAGTGGGATCGCCTGGAGCAATACGGCCCTCGCCTTGGCCCCATTACTGCCGAGAGCCCTATTTCCGAGTCGTATTTTACACGCCTGCCCGAGGATGAGAAGACGAAGGCGAGGGGATTCACGGAAGCCGACCTTACCCTGGTCAACAACGGGTGGCTTTGGGACGCGAATGCCCTGGTGGACAATGCTGGTTCCGCCTCTCGCGCATACCTGAAGAGAGAAGTCTTTTCTTGGGGAGATTGCGTAAAACTACGCTATGGGAAGCGTCGAGAGGACAACCCTTGGCTCTGGGACCATATGGCTACGTATGCCAAAACGTTGGCCAAGTATTTCCACGGCTTCCGAATCGACAATTGCCACTCGACAGGAATCACGATTGCCGAATACATGCTGGATCAGGCGCGGTCGGTGCGCCCTAACCTCTATGTCGTTGCCGAGCTATTTACCGGTTCCGAGGAAATGGATTACCTCTTCGTGCGCAGATTGGGCCTCGACTGTCTGATTCGTGAGGCGATGCAGTGTTGGGGAACTGGCGAATTGAGTCGACTCGTTCACCGCTACGCTGGCAGGCCGATAGGGAGCTTCGAGCCGGATGACGCTGTGACGGCTCTTAACAAGCCTCTGCCCAACGGGCTCAACGGGGAGAAGACGGCGGCTACGGATGAGGATTCGGACGGATCTTCAAGGGAAGTCGTCAGAGTTGTAAAGGAGACCATTGTCGCGGCGCTCTTCAACGACTGCACTCACGATAACGAGGTGCCAGCTCAGAAGAGAGACGCACGAGACACTTTGCCCAATGCTGCTCTCGTCGGCATGTGCGCGTGCGCCACGGGTAGCGTGATGGGCTATGACGAGATTTATCCTCGTAGGATCGATCTCGTCGGGGAGAAGCGCCTGTACAAGCCTGTCAAGCTTGGAAAGGATGATGGCATTGGCCGGGTCAAGAAAATTATCAACCAAATTCATACCGTCATGGGTAAGGACGGTTACCATGAGGCACACATCCACCACGAAGATCAGTACGTTACTGTTCACAGAGTACAGCCCGACTCACGCAAGGGATACTTCCTCATCGCACACACTGCCTTCCCTGGTTACGGAAACGGTAACGGAGCCGTCAGCCCTGTGAATTTGCCCGGAACACGGGCCCGACACCTGGGCAGCTGGATGCTTGAAGTTGATAGCAGTGAGGAGGCCGTCGAGAAGTTTTACGAGGATGAAAAATACCTCTGCGGACTGCCAAGCCGCGTGGTTGATGTGCCTGGTATTAAGATGGAGGTCAAGGGAGACAGCACCATAATCACCGTCCGTGACAAGTTCCCGCCTGGCAGCATCGCCCTCTTCGAGACGTGGGTTCCCGCTGCTGAGCACACTGCCGGACTGGATTCGTTTGTGACGAACGGAGCCAAGGAGGCCTTTTGCGAGCTAGATCTCATCGACCTCAATTTTGTGCTGTACCGATCCGAGGCTGAGGAGTTGGACGTCAGCGATGGAGCAGACGGAGTTTATGAGATTCCCCGCCATGGCAAGCTCGTCTACGCCGGCCTCCAGGGGTGGTGGGGTGTACTACGGAATGTCATCCTCAATAACAACCTCGCACACCCACTCTGCGAAAACCTGCGAAACGGGCACTGGGCCATGGACTATATTGTCGGTAGGCTTGAAAAGATGAGTAAGAAGCCGGGCCATGAGAACCTTGCTGGCCCTGCAACCTGGCTCAGAGAGCGATTCGATGCAATCAGGCCTATCCCTGGCTTCTTGATTCCTCGGTACTTTGGCTTGATTGTCAAAACTGCCTATGACGCCGCGCGGGATCGGGCATTCACTTTGATGGGACCTACCATCGACGATGGTCAGTGGTTCTTGCGTAGCTTGGCTCTTGTGAGCGTGCAGCAGACTGGCTGGACCAAGTCGGCTTCTCTCTATCCGGACAGACTCACACCCTCTCTTGCAGCGGGTCTACCTCACTTCGCGGTAGACTGGGCTCGATGTTGGGGCCGAGACGTCTTTATTTCCCTCCGCGGCCTGTTCCTCGGCACTGGCCGATTCGACGAGGCCCGCGAGCATATTTACGCTTTTGCAAGCGTCCTCAAGCATGGCATGATCCCCAACTTATTAGGGAGCGGGAAGAACCCCCGATACAATGCAAGAGACGCAGTGTGGTTTTTCTTGCAATGCGTTCAGGACTATACCAAAATTGCTCCTAATGGTCTAGAGCTGCTGCAGGACAAGGTGAAGCGGCGCTTCCTGCCATATGATGACACTTGGTTCCCTTACGATGATAAGCAAGCTTACTCGAAGGAGTCCACGATTGAGGATATAATCCAAGAGGCGCTTCAGAGGCACGCGGAAGGCATTAGTTTCCGCGAACACAATGCCGGCCCCCAGTTAGACATGCAGATGAGCGACAAGGGATTTGACATAGACATCAAGGTCGATTGGGAGAACGGGTTCATCTTTGGCGGCAGCCAATATAATTGCGGCACTTGGATGGATAAGATGGGCGAAAGCGAGAGGGCCAAGTCCAAGGGTGTCCCCGGAACGCCCCGAGACGGCGCGGCCGTAGAAATCACGGGTTTGCTTTACAGCACGTTGGTCTGGGTGGCCCGCCTCCATTCCGAGGGCAAATATAAGTACTCGGGTGTGAATAAGGCAGACGGGTCCGAGATCTCTTACCACGACTGGGCGGACTTGATCAAAACCAACTTCGAACGGTGTTTCTTCGTGCCCAAGACAGCCAAGGAGGATGAAGACTTCGACATCGACAGCAAGATCATCAACCGGCGCGGAATTTACAAGGACCTCTACCGCTCGGGCAAACCCTACGAGGACTACCAGCTCCGACCCAACTTCCCCATCGCCATGACCGTGGCACCCGAGCTCTTTACGCCCTCTCGCGCCCTCCACGCTCTCAGCGTGGCCGACCTCGTGCTCCGCGGCCCGACGGGCATGGCGACGCTCGACCCCAAGGACCTCAACTACAGACCGTACTACAACAACAGCGAGGACAGCGACGACTTCGCCACTTCCAAGGGCCGCAACTACCACCAGGGCCCCGAGTGGCTGTGGCCCACGGGCTTCTTCCTGCGGGCGCTGCTCAAGTTCGACCTCCAGAGGAGGCAGGACGAGGACGAGGAGTGCAGGACCGAGGCGTTTCAGCAGGTTACCAGGAGATTGCATGGGTGTAAGAAGATGATTCGGGAGAATCCGTGGGCGGGGTTGGCGGAGCTGACGCAGAAGAATGGGGAAGAGTGTCGTGATTCGGTGAGTTCTCCTTGTCCTGCTCACTTTTTCCCCCCCGGCCTCCTCTTATACTTAAGCGGTATGTCCTAACTATATGATTCTGAAATAGTGTCCTACGCAGGCGTGGTCTGCTTCGTGTCTTATTGATCTTTTTATGGATGCCGCGGAGGCGCAGGAGAAGTTGGCGAGGGGAGAATCCATCTTTCCTTGACTGGTTATTTTTCTTCTCGTCTTTTTCCTTTTTCTTCCTTTTTTTCTTTTCTTTTTTGACATATCTTCTTTTTCGGTTTACTTTAGTCCCGTGTTGGATGTGTTTCTTTAGAGTTATGTATAGGATGGGCGGGTAGATGAGCATATCTCAAGGTGGAAAGGAAGCTTGAAGACTGGCAAGTATCAAACTAGGCAGCATACGACTTGGCTTGGGTTGTGCACGAATAGATCAACGATATCCGTCTCTCTCATCCAGAATGTCTACTCCCGGTACAAGTATGTAGCAAGACCCCCAAGTGACTTTTAGAATATTTCATAGGTTAAGGGGGCTACTGCGTGATTAAAAAAAAAAAAAAAAAGAAAAAAAGAAAAGAAGAGAAAGTGAAGAAAAACAGGCATATTCGCAGGTTCTTTTCGCCCCAGCCTCGCTCTTCACGATGACGTCGTTGCTCTTCCACTCCCCTGTAAGAAACTAGGTTGCAGAGGATATGCTTATTCGTTGTTCCGTTCCAGGCAAGTCAGAATTGGTGGCGTGATGGATTTCCCTATTGTTTCCAAGGAGCTGAAAAAAAACGCAAGCGAAGTGTGGATGCCACACGAAGAAAGTTGGTAACGCCAAGGGGAAAAAGAAACGCCATGAAACCATCCAGTCGGCATGAATCTTTCGATTATTTCGGAACCTGCCTGTGCATGCTTCGTACGTAAGAGTCAATGTGCACAACCTTTTTCTTTGTTCCCCCTCCAAGAACGTGGCGTGAAAAAAAGGTATCATATTTTTCATGAGAGCCTCTCGCCAAAGCTAGATCCCACGATGGGAATATATCCAAGAAATTAAAACAAGAAAAATCCATATGCTAGGCCACTTTTCGACAGATGTAGGAGAGATATGAGACGGGGTTCGGAGAATCGGTGCATCGAAGGAAAGGTAAAAATAGAAAAATATGAGATTAAAAGGGAAATGTTGAGGTATGACGATGAGATGCCGTAAGATCAAGAAAAGATATAAACATCCGAAGGGAAGGAAAAGATGGAAAAAAAGAATCCGCACAAACAAATAGAAAAACATAATCCATGAAGCGCCACTCTATTCCGTTTAAAGTTTCCATCCGATGAAAATGCCCTGAATCCAATGACGAAAGAAAATAACGCGAGAAGGAAAAGAAAAAGAGAGAGGAAATCGTAGCTTTCACACAAGCTTGGAAAGAGTAAAACAAAACGCCTCCTGGTTTGCTCCCCCTGTCCGTTATTCCGTTCCGAATTTCCAGTTCGATTTTTTACAAAGTCGAGAAAAGGGGTTTTGTATGCTGCCGCCGCGCGCCGAGTTCGAACATGAAGGAAGCTGTGTGTTGAAGATGATGCGAAGAAAGACGTAGGACCAGAGTCTTGCGCGTCATACCTTGTCCCCCGACACCCACTTTCTTAGTTTCGGTGACCTGCTCCGTGACGCTGCGGGCGGGGGCGGGGTTGTCTTCTCGGTTGTTGTTTGGGAGCCGTGGGTAGACCCGCGGTTAGATGTGCGGTGGGTGCCGGGGGGTAGGAACAACCCCGGAGCGGGAGCGCCATGGTGGTCGGGAGGAGCGGCGCCGGGGCCCCAGGAGTCGTGGGCGGGGAGCTTTCCTAGACCTTTTTGGCGTTCCTTCTTCTTGAGGTAGTGGCGGCGCCAGAGGCAGGCGCCTATCCAGATGACAATGATGCCTACGACAATGACGATGGCCATGATGATCCACCGGAGGTGATTTTCCAGCCTAGAGCTACGTTAGAGGAAAAGAAATTCAAGAAAGGAAACAGGGTCGGCCTTGGATGGGCAATATCACGAACCATGTGCCTCCAGTCCCGGCTTGGACGGGGATTGCACCAGAGGACGTCCCGATGCTCGTGCCCGTGTCGGCGGTATTCGTGTCCCCGGTATTTGTGTCGGCGGTATTTCCAGTCGCTGCAGAAGTCGATCCCTGGTTCTGGGCACTAAACTTTTCCGGGAGGTTGCAAGTGTCGGCGTACCAATTTTGTATCGTGACGAGAGCGGCAGTCTGGTCCTCGCCGGCTCCCTTGCAAATGTTGTCGCATACGTTGTGGAGTCCCGCCTTGAAGCCAAACAACGCGGAATTACCGCAGAAGCACGCATTTGCCGACGCTTCGTCGGCTCCCGGAAGGACGGGGTCGACGCACCCGCCTTCGGCGTCGTGGACAGGCCCGCAGTAAAAGGCACACTGAGGCCATTGGTCATAGGGGGCGATTTGTGTTACAGGTGTCGCTGTTAAGCCAAGTTAGAGACAATAGACCAAACGTCAGGACGGGACGCGGCCTCGGAGACGTGCAAACATACTCATCTTGAAAAGAGAGGAAACAAAAATAACTGGTCTGTGAGAAAAACAAAAAGAGCGGAGCGGTCGGATGAGAAACGAGCGATCGATCCAAGGTCCGCACCGGGTTAAGAGGAAAATCGAGGGCAAATCGGGTTCGTTGGGTGGAGATCAAATCCAAGCCTTCTTAATTCTTCTTCCTCCTTTTTCTTCTTCTTATCTATCTTTATGGCGTTGATCGTTTTATTCGCTTCTTCTTGTTCTTTTTTATCCACGCTTTTCAGGCTGTAATTTGGCGTCGTTCGATTGGGTGTTTTCGATGTTGTCTAATCCGGGTTCGCTGGTTTTGTCCAAGGCAGCTTTTTTCTTTTTTTTGGTGAACCGTGAGCCGATGGAGGACGAGGTGAAGCGAAGGTGCACAAGGGGAGTGATTCAAGCAGGCGTTCGCGAAGTCGTCGTTCCCCCCTGTGATTTGTTTTGGTTCGACCTCCGCGATGATTGTTTTGGTGAGCTTGAAATTGGGAAAAGAGGTCGGAAAGGGACGGAGGAAAAGGGAGGTTGGAAGATAATTTGATGCGTTGGTGGCTGTTTGCCCAGACTCGTTTATGAGCAGTGTGTTTCTTGTGGCTCGTATTAACTTCACTTCATCCGCGCTGTCCGAATTGGGCTTGGCTTCAACAGAAAGGAAACGGGAAAAAGGGCTGCTGGTTGCCAGAGGATTCTTGATGGTGGGACGGGTTCAGTGGATCAAATCTGGACGAGCCCCAGCCACAAGGCCCCGAATGTCTGGTGTCTGGTGTGTGTCTGGTCAAGGTGCGATTCATTTGATCAAATCAGAATTGGTTTGTCTTTTCTATTCATGAGTGACGTGATGTGACTTGGAGAAAGGGTAGGATTAATATGAGGAGTGTGAGGAGTGTGTATAATACCCCATGATACCATAGTCGTACTTCGTACTTTCCGCCTTCCTTCTTGACAGTACAAAGGCAATAAATAACCCCTCGCATTCTTCGTTCTTCGTACTCGCAGTTCTGGCAACTGCAACTTGGCAGATTTCGAAAAAGAAATTAGTACCTAGTCCGCTTCTGCAATGCCTTCCTTCCCTTCCCCTTCCCTTTCCCTTTTTCCTCTTTTCAGGGACGTCTTTTCCTGTTTGTTGCTCTCCCTTTCGGAGTCGACACAGGAAACCCCGAGTCTTCCGGGATTTGATCATTTCACCCGAGTTCTTTCCCCATTCTGGGCGGAACCGATCGCTCAAGGAAAGTGCCAGGCGGAACAGTAAAATCGATTCCTCGCGCGAAGTACATGTGCACCCCAAGTACATACACATTACAGGGGGGGTTCAGCAGGGCAGGGAAGCAGGAACGAACAGAAATGCTGGTCATGGAGCGTACCTCTTGGTAGTGGAGCACTCGACGCACAGCTTAAATTCCTATCCTCCAGTACCATAACTTTTATCTGCACACTGATGTGAGATATCGCCGATGCCAAGCATTTGGGCGTCGTCTCTTACCTCATGGTCTCGTCGCCAGGTGTATCTCAATTCCATGCAAACCACGCTACACAGGGACAGATTCGTGATATGTGCATGATACATGTAATATACTTCCTCCACCTGCCACCCACTTCCATCTCGCACTTCGTTCGGAGAAGGAACAATCCCGAGAGCCAATCAGGCGGACAACTGATTTTCACACGGACCATGACATTGGCGAGTACGCGATAAGACCGACGGGACTAAACTAAGCTGGTCGAGCATACCCACGGGGCAAGGTATCTTTCATGTGCTTTTCCAGATTTAGATCTCGTGCTCGTTGTCACTCCTCGGGAAGGTGTGAAATATATGTACGGAGGTAGTAGTTTACGTTGTACTTATGGATGGAGGAGATTTGCATGGACCATCATGCTCGAATACGATGTGCCATCACCACCAAACAGGCCAAATCGCCAGTAATATTTTGTTCAGATTGAGAATCAAATCATACTTCGCAGTTGGGAGTAACCCAGGTGCTTCCTGGAGTAGGAAGAAGTATTAGTACCTCAGCTGTCATTGCGGAATTCCGCGGACTCCTTGTACCATGCTCCAATGTTGTCTAGGCAATGGTGCGTGGATTAATAACGAAGAGCAAATAAACCGCACATGCATTTTGTACGTTGCGGTGTGAGGGGCAAGCATTAAGCATAATAGTGTGCAAACTGGGTCATCCGATCTATTGCAAGGCACGCGCTAGTGTACTTTGTAGCGTCCTTGAACAGTGGAGCGGAGATGACAAGAGAATCGTGTAACACTCCCAATCTCGTCCCAGCTGCAATTTGCCAAGGATGGAAGTATTGGGCAGTGAACGCTGACAGTCAAACTGCAAACAGATCATTGAGGTATCCAAGAGTATGAAGTACTTCATACCTGTAGTCTACTCGGGAGCCAGCACGTCGTTCTGCTCGCACCTGCCAAGATCGCGGATGATGCGTGGCCCGCCCATCAGGAAGATTGAGCGAGATTTTATCCGGGGGGGGGAAGAGGCAGTCAGATCTGTCTTGTCATCGAGGATCAAGGTTGAGCCCCTCAATGTTAAGGGTGCCCAATATCAATAACATCGCCTCAATTTGATCGCCTCAACAACCCATTTTGCTGTCCAAGTAGTTTATGTGTTTCATTACACTACTTCCTACACTACATCATCTGTCAAATATTCCACGTTCCACTTGTGACTCCAGCTGTCGCTTACCTGAATTCAACCGTCTCCACTCTCAGGGCAGTGGTCTTGCTTGGTTGTGGTTGGACGTTCAATGTTGACTCCAGCGTCCATCGTCATCGTCCACTCGCTGAACCCCCTCCGCGTCGTTCCCCACGTCAAACCCTTCATGCATATTGGTTTGCCACGAGCCGCACTGATGCGACAGGCCCTTGCTAACCGAAGCCAGGAGCCAGGCCAACCCGAGCCAGGTGCCAAGTGGCGACAATTCATGGCATTGTGTGCGATCAACGAGAACCAGCCATAGCACCCAACTAACCAGGTTCATCCAGGCTCCAGGGACCCGAATTAGACATCGGCCCGCCCGTGTGGATAAAAGCCTCCAAAACTTAACACAGATCAATCCATGTTGTCGATCCACACAAGCCTAGGCAGACCAGACACTAAGACAAAGCAACAACACATATCGCGCCCATATTCGTCCGCGTACGAAGTACTGGCAGCAAGGGAGGTCTATTGATGGGCATTGTGACAACGATAAAGGCACTCAATTAGTCGTCGGCCTTGGGAAGCGCCATTTTCATTACGTCCAAGTCCCTGACACAAAGTCGTGGAGCCATCGATGATGCAGGCATAACACGTTGCACGCTGCGAGTCTTATATTGCTGTCTTTCCTCCGCCTGCGGCAACACAATACAATTGGAAAAACTAAGGAGCAGGACTGATCGTCACACTGCGCTCAAGGGTCCAACCATTGTCTCTCACGAGTGATGCGATGCCAATTGCCGGCCTTGGCGTATGAGGGAAGAAACAGTGCTTGTTTTAGACCAGTCTCTAATGATGCAAGGGAATGACAGAGAAGCAATGCCTCAAGGTCTCAGCCATGGCTGCCAGAGGCTGTGTGGCCCGGACAAGCACCGACATGATAGTGCCTAAATGTCTTTCTCTCTTGACCCAGAACTGCACTCCACTACAATAAACTTCATTGTGTCGCCTCCCTCCCGAAACTCAAATTAAGGTTGCCGACCCTAGAGTACCGCCGCCCGCAGATCTGGAATTCCTGAACGAAGCCTCTTTTCATGCTGCATTGCTCTTCAGTCACTTGACTCGAATATTCTTCAAAAAAGACACCGTCTGGGTGTGAAGCCCTCCAGAAGCTCTCATCGCTCTCTAATGCTTCCTGTTGTCGCTTTCCTCACCATCAGGTTTGGAGGTACCATTCGGCACTTGTAAGGCGTCGAGGGCTTCGACCGGCCGGTTGCTCCACTCAGCTTCGGCAAGGTTGTTGTATGGGCCGTGTCTAGCTAGTTCGTCGAGCCACCTACGCATCGGCTCCGACAATGCCTTCTCACGGCCCTCCGAAAGCCTCCGAGGCTCCGGTTGCCCGTGCGGATCTTGCTGATGCCGTGAACGCTGTACTCCGACGACAGAGTCCTGGCCATTTACAGCTACACTTTGGGTAAAAATGTCTGCCAGCGCACTGCAGGTTAGCTTCTCATCTCCTCAAACTGGACGCAGCCTACCGTCCTGGACAGGGAAATACCTTGCTTGGAGGCGTGCCCTCCGATTGTCTTTTGTTCCGATTGTCTGGTCATGGTCTTCCTTGGAGGAATGCAAGCAAAGTAAGTTATGTGAAATGCAGAGCTAGAAATGGCTTCTTGGTTAGGGTGGATGGTTTACCCGATCTAGATGTATCGATCAGCTAGGAGGCTTCTCTATTTCCTTCAAGCGGACTAACATCGATGAATATATACGTCTTCAGATGGAAAAGAGGAAGGCCACTTCCACCAACTGAATCTACCCCTGTCTTTCCTCTGGCTGTGACTACATGGAAACCCTCCTCGCTGATCGGCAGTTGCTGCATTTACATATCGTGTTTGTCATTGCTCGCCTCTGACGCAGCATCCACCATGACTTTATCCCTGACCGGTCCCTCAAGCATCTACTAGCGTAAGGAAGGATGCCATAACCGGTAGCCTATTCCAGGAAGTTCCGACATCGATCATGTTCCACGACCTCTCGTACAGCATCAATGCGGTGGGTTGGTGGAGATTGGATCCCTGATATCTTCATGGGGCCTCTGTTTGGCGTTTGAGTGCACCACAAAAGCAAACCAAGTCGTCATCGACCTAGCACGAGCTTTCGTTAGCAGCAAGTTCCACGCCCTCGTGTTCTGACACTAGCATCTCCCCGCTGCTCCCTCTCGTCGAGCGCAGCCACGCCTAAGCGAGATATCTAAGAAATGTGGGGTGTGATATACACTCAACGATGGTTTGCCCTTGACCGAAAGGTATCGAGCAATGCGGGACGGAGAAAACGATCCGGAGATTCGAA